GTGAGTAGAGGGTTCCTTTGCCGACGCCTGAGGGGCCGGATATTACGACTGGGCGGAGGGAGGTGGGGACTGGTGGGAGGGGAGTTAGAAAGGGGTGGAGGAGGGGAGTGGGGTGGGGAGGAGCTGGGGAATGCTGGGGAGAAAGGGGGAGGAGAGGGATGGATGGGATGTACCTGGAGCCATTTTGTATGGGCGACGATGGGGTACGAAGTTTGGGATATGGGTGGGTATGAAGGAGGTAACGCGTTGTCTAAATAGAAGCATGTAGAGGGAGGTTTAGGTATTCCAAGAACTTAAAGATGCGGTGTGGTGGGGAGAAGACGTACTAATCTAGACCCCGCGTCGAAAGCTTGGGCCCGAAGCAGAGTGACTGATGTAACTTCATTCCTTCAACTCTCTCAATATTGTACATTTGGGGTTCTTGGAATGAATGAAGATCCGATACCAAAGTCTTTTAAGGTCTGGAGAATTGAATGAAATGACAAAGTGTGGAGAAAGAGAACGTAGAGGGGAAACCCTACTCTATAGGTTGAACCTACAAGAAGTATATTTTTCGTGGATTATTATTGAGTTGTTCTATCAAGGATACGAATCGAATCACAGTTCAGGTTCCAAAGGCATGGGGCATGTGTTCGCGGCTCTGCAGCCACTTCCGCCTGAATCATGCTGGGGAATTCGATACATCACATTTTACATCTCCACTTTAGGAACAATTCTTTTAGTTTATTATTTTTCATTGTAATACAGAATCATGTTACAATGTGTACAAAGCGCCACGCCTCCCATCCCATTCACGCCAGAAACTCCTCCCTTGAAATAAGAAACCAGTGCTTCGTAAGGAGCGGGTATTTTCAAGGAAAGACCAAAGCAAACTCCCAGAAACGCCTTCTAATGCAATACTCAATTGAAGTCTTGACCGCCTTAAAATCTCGTCATATTGCTGACCACGCTGTACCGTGATGACGGTGGTGGGCATGCTGGCCCTGCAGCGTGCATTGGGTGCAAGGCAGTAGGTGGACGTTGAACCTCTGGCACGACGGGCGAGCTTCGGTCATCCCATTTCGAGAACGGTTCGCTGCCCTGAGGTTCGTGCTGGGGCTTCCCGATCATGGACATGCGGATGGGAAGATGGAAGCCGAAGCGGGACTTTCGTCGTTCCTCTTGAGGTGGGCTCGGAGGTGGTTGGTACCTTGGTAGGGTAGTGCTCTCAGACTTGCGTGTTGAGCCACTAGACATGCTGAAGTTATCCTTGGCATTTTTCGGGAAGGTGGTTGCGCCATTGCCACGGACTTGACGGCCGGTGATGTTCAGCTTTGAGCTCGAGAAGATGTAGGTGGCAATGATGTTGAAGAAGCCGATCAGGGATGAGAGAATACCGGACGCGATGACTACGCGCCAAAGGGGCAAGCCGAGGTTTTCGACGCTGGTTGCTCCTTTGTTAAGATTCCCCAAGATGTTGAAACCGAGGACGATCATTGCGACTCCGAGACAGACAAAGCCAGAGTCAGGGCCCAGATTTGGCCAGTTCTTTGCAAAGTAGTTCGTCCAGACGTTAAGCTCGGAGACGACGAGAAAGAGTGCAACGACGCTTGTGATGAGATGTGATACTCCGTCGAAGAAGAAAAAGTTAGAGGTCTTGACTGTCATGACAAGCATGACCCAACTAGCGACGGCAACCAGCAGGAGAGAGATGATGTTGAGTACTCGAATGATGTTCAACGTAATGTAACCACCACCGGCCATTTTGTTTCCGGTATTAGGGGAGAACATCTTCATGGTGTATTATGATATGTGGACGTGGGTTCAAGTCTACACTGTCAGGATGATTCAGATGATGTTTCGAGGACTTGAAGACTTACGGTATTGGGAAGAAGTTTGTAGTAGTAGAATGAAGTTTACTGCCTGCAGTAGATAGGGGTTGAAGTCGATTCAAAAATGGTGGTACGGTGTCTAAGATGAAAGATCGTGGGAGGGAATAAAAGTTGTTAAAGTTATAGAAAATATGAGATTAGAAGAAATATAGAAGCCTGCTATTGTAGCGCGAACCTCATTGTTATGAATAGAACAACGAGGGAAAAGTCTTTTGTCGTGAATGGACAATGGGAAGACAATGAAAAGGTGGGCAGAACAGTGAATATGAAGAAACTGACAACGCCCATGCTTTGAGACCGAAGTCACGTCCGCTATTCTGGGAATCATTGTGGGGAATCATGCCTCTGTTCCAAAGTTCCTAGCGTGAATGTTGTATAAAGAAAGCTTCGAGGACATCCAATAACATTCTAGTGGAAGGGAGGTTCTTCGACCATACCATGCTTCAGAGCGCGAACAAAGGCACGGTGGGTAGAGCGAGTTTCGCAAGAAACAATTGGATGAAGCTGGCTGTAGCACGGACTGAGGGTGAACGTGTGTCTGGAACTCCAAAGGCCTCATCGCGAGGCTATTGACGCTGTCCTCAAATGTCCCAGAAGCAAGTCCAGGAGGTTTGCATGCGAGAAATGCGTGGACAGCCATCATCCAGGGAGTACATCGTCCATTCGCGCCCAATCAAGCCTGGGACAAGCGCTTGCATAGGTGCCAAGACAAGAGATCTTATGCGGCGAGCTCCCCTTGAAATGTTTCAACGACAGTGACTGCCGTGAAGTTATTGGATATGGGCGCTTCAAGAAAATGTTTCAAGTTGAAAGTCCAAGTCCAGCCTGATCTCTGTGGCAAAAGTCATGACTCCCGATGCCAGCACGGAAATAGCAAGTCCCTAAATTTGAAAGCTCTCACCTCGTGATTAAATTAAAAGTCGTTTGTTTGAACCTTCTAATGAAGAGCGAGAGTGCGCGCCAACAACATTGGCGGCAAGGCGCGGCTACGCTGCGCTACAAGATAAAGATGAACGACTAATCCCAAATTTCTATTTCGAGAGCCTGGCCTGGCCCACCCAACTTTTTCTCAGCCTTGACCGAATACCGAGCCACACCCACGCCGGCGCGCAAACAACCACGAACCTCTCTCACAGAATTGCAGACACTCAAGATGGCCAGAGGTAATCAGCGTGACAAGGCTCGTGAAGCCGAACTGAAAAGAAAGCTTAATGGGGTACGCAAGCCCCACCCCTTCTATCTATCTTAATGCCCCATGCGCGCGCATGAACGATAGGTAAGTCGGTGTGTTGTGCTGCGTTGTGCTGACTCGTTTTGTAGCCTAGACAAGGCAATTCCAAGACCGGCTCTGAGATGCAGCGCGAAAATGAAAGCAATGCTGAGAAGATGAGGAAGAAGCAAGCTGACGGTACATACATATTCCATCCCACCCTCACACGCCCAAAATCCCCATGTTTTCACGCCAACCAGCAATACATAAGCAACACATGTTCTAATAACCTTTTTTTTCTATCTAGCCGATGCAAAGAAAATCGCCGGCGGCGGCGCTGCTGGTGCACCCAAGAAGAAATAGACGACTGTCGAACGGAAGCGCCGACGATACGATGGGAGAATGTCATTACGAGACGGGTTGGACACGTTTTATGAATCAATATTGAGCGAGAAATTGGAGCATGGCGAGAGTTGGTTTGATACACTTTTAGAATGCGTGGTTTGGGAGAACGAATGTCTTTACCAAGGAATTTTCAATGCCCAATTTCTGCCTCTTGGTGAAAAAGGTCTATGGAACAAGGAATTCTAGCAAGCGCCGGCATTCTTGGACATAATACCTATAGACTCAGGAGTATTTTTCCCTTTTGCTAGTTCCGTTCTAGTCTCCGAACGTAAGCAACTGCTGTTTTGACCTGAGCTGGGGGTGAGCATGCTGGAGTAGAGCCTGAGCATCCCTGAGCCCGATAATACGGAACCACTTTTGGCTTCCTGTCTGCCTCGGCTGCAATTTCCTTACCAAACTTTGCTGGGAATCCGTTTCTGGTCTCCTGCTGGAGCAAATGTTGGATCCCTCATTTCTTGGAGCACGTGACTAATCATTTGACCAAAAACGCACCAAATAAGCTTAGACTCTATACTAGAGGATTGTTGGGTGGTGGTTATAATTGGTCAGTTCTATAGTGGCCCTATATTATATATTTTGGCAGGTAGGTATGTAAAGCTCCAGATGGAGTCTGATTTATAAAATGATGATGGATTGCTCTCCGTGCGAGTTACGACTCTATTAATCATATCCGTCTGCGTTGTTATCTCAGCTTCCTCAGACTCTACACTGGAAGAATTGGGGGGGCACTCGGGGGACCAATAAGAATCCGTGTAGGGCCAATTCTCCCAGAGACGTAGCTGTTGGTTGGTAGAGAATCGGCGCTTACTAAGCTAGTAAGCCGCTTTGTTGTCTACGACTACGTAGTGGAGAGCTACAAACTGTTCTGCTACACCGGTTACCAGTCGAGCCAGTCCAGCGCCCATACTGCGGAGCGGAGCTCGTATGAGTCATACCATGTACTCAACTCTGCCACGATCACTATCGGGCAAGTCAAATACTATTCGACTGCTAAAGCTCCGCGCTGCCCTCGAGCATACTATGATCGAGTGCGACCTTGAAGTTGTTGATCTTGAGACGCGTCCTCGGCTGGAGGCTTTATCATACGTGTGGGGCAATCCAAATCCACCCGAGGCCATACTATGCAATGGCCATCAGCACTCTGTGACACCGAACTTAGCGCTTGCGCTGAGGCGGATCCGATCGCCGTGTACCACTAGAACCGTTTGGGTTGATGCTATCTGTGTGAACCAAGAAGACCTCGAGGAGAGATCGCAACAAATTCAGTTGATGAGAGAGATCTATAGCCAGGCTTGGAGAGTGATTGTCTGGCTTGGAGAAGATAACGGGCTCGCTGAAACAGCAATTCAAACTATCAAATGGTTTGCAGCAGAATGCTGTGCCAAGATCGGGAAGTCGCTTGACGCGATTGATTTAGATATGAACTCTCCGATGGATCTGCAACTACGGAGTTATACCTCAACTACCGCAAGACTACAGCGCCCAACTCCAATACAAACTCCCAATGAATGGCAGGCAATAGAGTGGTTCTATGACCAACCTTGGTTTTCAAGGGCCTGGGTTGTCCAGGAAGTGGCATTTGCACCACCAGTATTCTATATTGGTCCGTTCGAAATTGGCTGGAAGGAGGTCGCTGTTACGGCCACTTGGATCGGTTGGAATGTGACTCACCCTTATAACACCAAGCTCGTGGATGTCTATGAGAGGGCGGAGGAGATATTTAAGCAAAGGGGAAATTACAGACCCTATTTGGAGAGTCTTATCGCTGGAGGCTTGATAATGTACTCAAAAGCGACTGATCCAAGAGACAAAATCTATGCCTTCCTGGGGCTGATGCATGAATCGGACCGTAAGGGTGTCTTGCTCCAGCCAGACTACTCAAAATCAGTCGTACATGTATATGGCGATGCTGTCCGCCATATGATCCAGCAGAATGAAGACGACGCTAAGTATAATTTGACCGAAGCCTTTGCTAGCATCGAAAGCTCTAATACTGGAACCGAGGGCTTTCCATCCTGGATACCTCGATGGGACAACCCATCGATGTTGAAAAATCCCTGGTACCGGCTTCGCACCGGATTCCTGGACCGAGGATGGAGTGCGAGTCGCGACAAAGTCCCCGAAGTACGAAATGTCTCAGATCGGGAAATTCTTGTTCTGAAGGGCCTAAAAGTAGCAAACATAAGTCGCGTGTTCCCATTGCAAAGGAAATCAGACGACGCTGACTGGCTGACGCATATCTGGAAAGAAATATCGGTTCTACTTGATGCTAGTCCGTGGGCAGAGACAAAGGAACTCGTCCTTCTCAAGGCCATAGGCTCTCTTTACTCGGATTTTAACGCGAATATTGAATCTGTACCCGTAGAGGGTTACAAGTTCCTCTTAGAGATGGTCCTTGTAAGTTGCTTTGTAAGTTGCGGTGGTGAGCGGGACGAGGAGGGTCACTATATCAGTGAGTCAAATATACAGGAAGATTTGGATGCATACGACACAGATCCTACGTTGTCAGGCATGATCATAGAAGCAAATTTGAGCGATTGTGGTGATCTTGCTCGTTTTATTAACGAGTGTCCCTTCTCTTTATTCATAACAGAGGATAATAACCTGGGGGCTGGTACCAGAGATGCAAGAGCTGGTGATCTCGTGTCCATCCTTTATGGTGGGGAGCCCCCTTTTCTTCTTCGCCAAGCTGGCGCTCAATGGAAATTCATGGAGGCGTGCTACATGAATGGTGCGATGTATGGAGAGGCTATTGAGGAATTGAAGAGAGGAAAACTAGGCGAAGAGTGGTTCGAGATTCGATGAAGCATGCCAGTAACAATGGCCCATTTAGTCTTCGAAGTTAATTTAAAGTGCTAGATTGCGCCTCACATATTCACAATACATCATGGTATCCACTTTAGATTTCTTAGTACATCAGAAATTTGACAAAAGTGAAAGAATAGACATTGGATTAAGTGCGGTTATTTAAAAGGTAGTAAATCAGAAAACTTGGTGATGTGGTAAATCATATGCGGTGTCTTCCTGGTCTTCCTATGCCTCCTTTCAGCACGACTAAGAATCAATCTACACCACTCCTCCCAGAAAACCTTCCTTCCACCTCCCCTCTTCACCTCATACAGTATCTTGTCGTTTTCAGGCCTCAGCATTGTATGAAACAGCCTCCCTTTCACCCGCATAACACGGACCACGCGTCCTTATATGCATGCCGTTCAATCGATATGCAAATCACGACTGGCCAGCCCGTCGCTGTCCCGAGTTTCTAGACCGAACTCTCGGATGTGAAAGTTGTGAATAATCAGAGAATTTAGTTCATATCGAAATTTAGTTCTTTGTGGATGCTTACAAAGGACGAGAGAATTGGGATGGGCTTGTCCCGATGGATCGATCATGGTAGGTGTTGAGACTGCAAATGGAATGATAGAAAGCAAGTATTCAAATCAAGAGATGTGGGAAGAGTCACAATTAATCATCGCTATCAAGTGCAGGCATGATGCTAATTGAAGATGTAAAAAATACTGAAGGGTTATACAAGCCGTCTATCTGCACCACACCACACCGTCAAGAAAACGCCGAAATGGAATGCAATAAAAGTTTCCATTCAATCATACTATTAAAGAGCACATCCACCCATTTCCCCAATCAAAAAATAATAACGAGCCAGTCGACTACCTATATATCAATAATAACACAGGCCGTCAATGCCACACCAACTCCAGGTTCCGCGATCAAGCCTCTCAACGGCGACACGTGAACCTTTTTCTGTCTCTTCGCTTCTATTCTTGAGATCTGGGACCTAAGGAAATATCACGGCTCTATATTGTCAGAGCGGCTAATGGCATAGCACCTGTGCAGACGTTAGTATCGAGATTTCTATGAAGCTGAACCGAAGAGGGGCAAGTAATTACCTGACATTCCGCCGAAAGCACCAACACCTTGAGCAGCGCTGGGGAAAGAAGCAACGCCACAGAGGCAAGCGCAAGTGCAAACACCGGCTGAGTTGGTGGTTCCCTGTGACGAGACCATGCTTCCAGAGCTTCCGGAAGATGAGCTGGACGAAGACGACGCGCTGGATGCTGCTGGGGCAGCAGCGGCGGCAGAACTACCTCCAGTGATGGCCGTGGCGGTTCCGGTTCCGTTCTGTGCAATGGCCATTTGCGCGAACATGGCTTGGGTCTTGTTGGCAGTGGGGTTGACGGAGAAAACCATGCCTTTTCCGCAGTGGCCCTTTTGCTTGCAGTAGAACCCTGCGAGGTGTTAGCGAGAGAAAGTAGCGAAGACTAATATGCCAACTTACAAATGGGAGTAGCCACAGTGACCTGCATAGCCATTTGTGGTGCTGGGACGACAGAGTTGTTGGTGTTGGGGATAAAGCCAGAATCGATACCCCCAGTAAGCGCTTCACAGGGAGTGGTGAAGGCGGATTGAGTGGCAGTGTGGTTAGCGCTCATGAAAGTAAAAAGAACGGTATCTCCAACGGCAGCTGCAACGCTGTCAGGTGAGTAGACAAGACCTGCAGTTCCACCGACAGTGACCTGAGCAAGTTAGCAAAGGGTTCCAGAAAGGTTGTTGTCCGAGAGCTTACCGTATGGGTTGCTGCTGCTGCCGTTCCAACTGCCTGTGCGCTGTTTACGGAGCTGGTCGTAGCGCTTCCACCGTTGTTGACCCAAAGAATAATCACTTCCGTTATTGACGTGCTTGACTGCTGACCCTTGGCAGCGTTGTTGTTGGCAGCGGCGTTGTTGTTGCTGCTCTTGCTATCGCTGCTGCTCTTCTGTGATCCTGAGCTACCACTTTGTTGGGAAACCTCAACATCGACTGCCCCTCGCTTCATCAAATCGACCTGAAGAGTACTGGCCAACGCCAATGGCGCGGCGCAAAGTGCTAATGCGGCGGAGAATTTCATATTGGTAAATTAGAATAGTCGACTAAGTATCGTTATTGGAGATAATGCAAAGACTGAAAGCCGCACTGCGGAATAGCTGAACTATCAAAGTTGTCTTGGCTTGTTCGTTGAGTAAAGATTGTAAGTCTGAAGCTTGGAATAAGTATAGCCAAATGGCGAGGGCCTGCTCGGGATAGTAGATAGAAAAGCTGCTGAAATAAAATAAGGGAGTGAATGAACGTGTTCACAGCAAGACGAATGGAGAAGAAGAGACGAAAGCAAATGTGGTGTCGGGGAACATGAGATAATAAACCAAGCATGAGATTAGGGCGCCAGGGCCAGCAGCGGAAAGCTTCTTGGGACGTTCTCCTGGCGACCCCTGGCACGAAACGAGGGACAAGCTTACTCGGAGTCCTCCTCGTCCGGACTGTATCCATGAAGGTTGCCTCCAAACGGCAATGCGTTTTTGGACGACTTGGTGGGTGAAGCGGGATGACATTCTCTTCAGATCCCCAGACAATGGACGGAAGCAGGATGCACGGAGCGCAATGTGGTCAGTTGCCATGTGTGCGGCGACTGTCCTTGACGTGGAGTGTTTTGAAGCTTGTCCCAGACTCGTCTCAGACCCAAATGCAGGCGAGAGCGACAGGGGGCTCGAACAGCACCCGCGTCTCGGAAGCAGGACGGATTATCTGAAGAATGCAAAGAAGAAAGGAGGTGACAAAAACAGAAACAAAACGGACAGCGGCAGCATCAGCATCAGCGGCACAGTTAGCTTAAGGATGGATTGTTCAATTAAAAGTTGGGATGTATTTGGGGTGAGCTGAAGTGAGTGAGGAAGAGGGAGGTTCAGAGAAGCATCTCGGCTGCAGCCAAGCTACAACGGGAGCCAATGCCAATCCAATCACGCACGTCCCGAGAACATCAACTCTCCATAATTTTGAAAGCCAAACCCAAAAATCAGCCGCTTCGATATTGCTTGATTGCTTAGGTGCTTGGGTGCTTGCAATCGCCGACAATTCTGAGTTTATTTTGACATTTGCATCATATGATAGGACGAAGCCCCCGGTGAAAGGCATTAAGACCGCGCCAAGGCCAAAACCTCCAGATAGGACTGCGCCTTGACGATCTGAACTTGAAACGAGACGTCTCTTGTCCGGCGCTTTGTTTCTACATCAGCCCACCCCATGTCTTTAGCACCCGTCAGTATACAGTACGGCATCCGTGGTCTCGGACGCTGAAGTCGGATAGCCACAACTTTTAGATGGTCCAAACTTTCTTCGTCACAGATGTCCCGCAACGAATCCAATTAGCCCCCTCCCTCCCCCTCAAAGTTCCATCTCAATTTCCAGGCTTGCCATGCGAGGTTTGGGTTCCCTGTTGTTGCTGTCCCTCGTAGAGACCAGTATAGTAGCCTGCATAGTACCACGACATCAAAAGGCTCTTCAGGTTGTTGTCATGAACTGCATTGAAAGATCCACATCAGTCCATCTCCATGAAGTCTCGATGCCGGATGTTTGTCTCACCTTGACCGATGAGATGTTGTGGCAGTGCTGGACCCTTCTTCACTCCGCTATCCGGTGCCTGCCCTGGCATTTCATTGGGGCCAGAGTACTTGTCTCTCACCTAAACGTTGATAAGGTTTAACTCGGATCGCATGAGGACTGTTTCAATGCCAAGAAATTCATCGTCGAGATCCATATTTGAATTTGCAGTTGAAGCTTACCTGAGAGCCATCCCCAAGAGATCTTGTATCGTGATCAGCTGTTTCTTCTGGCAGACTTTTCTTGGCTTCAAAATCATGGTCGAGATGCTCCTCGACCTGCATACCCTCATCCTCGCTGCTAAAACCCTGTAAGCTTTTTGCGCAAACTTACAGTACAAAAGGTGAACTGACACTCCATTACTCTGCTTCGTGTGTGCTCTCAGCAATTCCTCTACGTTCTCACCTCGAGCTTGTACCCCGTGATATTTCTATTCCAATATCAGTTGTTGTTGCCTGCCATTGAATGCATCGAGGAATACTGACCTTGTACTCATTAACCGCTTCGTCCCACGAATCCACCAGGGCAGAGTCGTCCCATACCTCGGCGTGAGCTTTGCCATGAGAATTCATCTTGTACAAAGATTTATGTCACAGCATTCTGTCGGCTCAATGAGTCTGATTTTGTCAAGACAAGTAGCGTAGCCTAAGCGAAAAGGTATATCTTCAAATCACGTGTGCAAACCGGAAGACAGGTTTTATTGCTCACTTTAGCTATAGTATTCCCGCATCCTTTCAACCATTCATTCATAAGGATTAGCTTCCAGAATAAGTGGCGGAGGGCAACGACAACAAGGATATTCCCGCGGACATGTTATCACGTGTTATTGAATTACTCGCTGTCCTTTGTAGTATGCTTTTACAGAGGCGCAAGAAACCATCTTGGGGTATTCGAAGTGTTTGAAGAAGATTATTCAATAGAAGTCCAATCTACGTAACCATTACAAGTCCCTGTGTACTCCTTAACTGCTACAGTGTCTTACACTTCATAAAGCAGAACCACAATAATTAATATACTGGAGTAGACTCAATAAGGCAAGTTATTCAATTACAAATTGACAGATACATGCACGTAAAACATATACCAAGCAGTTTTCTACTCTCGGCCTTGGGCACAGCAATATTTCCTCATTGGTGGTTGGTAAACCAATTTGAGACTAGACTAAGGAGAAAAGGCGGTACCAAGCGGCAGATAAATCTATCCCTACATCGAAAACCTCTCAGCCTTGTTGACACCAGCATAACAGCCATGGCAATTACGATACTTGCGCCAGCTCCAGCTGGAGTGCCCTACCTCAGAGAAAACTCCTCAGATTCCGAAGATGGTGGTGCTGATCTGGAAGGAGATCATGACATGCGCCCTGCCAAACGCGCGCGACACAAGAAAGACGTTGTAACTCCCGGCGAAATAGTCACTGATGATCCCCAATGGATGAGGTACGCTGCTCTATTTCTCAGACATTTCGAATATGCCTGCTAATAAACTTCCAGAGGCCACGGTACATACATCGCACCTGCCTCGACAGAAATCATAGCTACAGTAGCTGGCACCGTTCAAAAAACCAACAAGCTCCTCTCCGTCCGACCCCTACGCGCTCGATATACCCCCGAGATCGGTGACCTGGTCGTAGGTCGTATCGTCGAAGTACAGTCCAAGCGCTGGCGCGTCGATGTCGGCGCTCCTGTGCTGGCAGATCTACCACTCTCGGCCATTAACCTCCCCGGAGGCATTCTACGAAAGAGAACAGAGACAGACGAACTTCAAATCAGAACCTTCTTCAGTGAAGGCGATTTGCTGGTTGCTGAAGTACAGAGTTTACGTCAGGATGGAAGCGCTAGTTTACATACGAGGAGTTTGAAGTATGGGAAGTTGAGGAATGGGGTTTTTATGAGTGTCAGTGGGACGGGAGGCGGTGGTGGTGTGGTTAGGGCTAGGAGACAGGTCTGGACGATTGATACTGTCAATGCGGGCGGGAAGGTCGATGTGGTTCTGGGTGTCAATGGATACATATGGATCAGCAAGCACGTCGAAGTCGCTGGGGGTGATACAGCAATCACCAGAATGGAGGAGAGCGTCAGCAGTACTGTCTATTCCAGTCAGAACGACGAGATTGCCCGCGAGACCCGGAAGGAGATCTCGCGGATTAGGGGGGTTATAAATTTATTGGTGGAGGAGGGGTTGAGGGTTGATGAAGACATGGTTATGAAGGGATACGAGGCTGCAATCATGATTGATGGCGAAGAAGCTGGGGAAAGCAATACCTATCTTGGAGGCGAGAAGGGCAAGAAAGTCTTGGGCTTGTTGAGTGGCCCCTGAATTACACGAGTCAGGACGAAATCTCCAAAAATATCTTCAACCTGACGGCAGTGACGGCAGGAAAGTGAACATATCTGTTTCTTCCAAAGATATAGTTTTACACCGAGCAACTACCAAACCCGGGCAGGAATCCGAAATATATTTCTAGGGAGATATCAAATTGCAGCCAGCCGTTCAGAAGTCTGTTCAAAAGTCTTACCGGTTTTTACCGCGACCGCCTGAATCCTGTCAACACCAACCGAGTGTCCTCAATAGGTAGGTAGGGCATCCTTTATCACAGAAATATATCCTCATAGTGCGACAATGACGTTGGCAGGTCTAGACTCCATATCTCAGACATTCTATTTTGAGGCAATCAACAAAGGTCCAAACTTAAAATCATCGGAGATTTCTTCCTTGTTCTCTTAAAGCCATTCGGCGATAAAACTCCCTAGCTCGCTAAGCAAGCTCTTGGTGGACGAAAAAAGGGACCTAATAATGCACCAAAACTCGCCTATCTATTAGGACACTTTTTTACCCACGAAGAGGCAAGATACGATTGCCGGCTTTTTTTTTTTTTTTGCCCCCACATATGCGTTATGCTGAGAATCTTACATCATGATTTCCGACCATGTATCCATACGGAGTGCATTTTTCATTTATTGAACCAATCAATACTGCTTATGTCGATGTGGACTCCAAAAACGGGAAGCTAGGTATCCGTTCCTGAAAAGTAGGCCGGTACCTATATTTTTAAAGTTTCCGGCAGAGATATGAGGCTAGGGATCATTATATTTTCATTGATTAATTAACTTTCTACTTGGAATGACCATGACTCATGGGATTTCTACGCTTCCTACTACAATGCAACAGGCAGGAGCCAAGATCGGTCTTGGCTGGGGACTACTGGCAGTGTAAAGTCCTACTCGTACCTACCTTCCGAAGCCCCGATTATTGTTGTCTGCTCTGCATTGTTTCCACCTCAACACCGAAATTTTTACAAGCAAAAGCCGTCCATGACGGTCCTAACATGTTTCAATTCTTCGGGGCCTTTCGGGGGTATTCTACTAGCAGCCCACATCATAAACTTGCTTATCAACAATCTATTATGTTATGAATCGTTTCTTCATATAAGAGAGTGCCATTCTCACTATTATTGCCTTCTCCATTCTCAAACAATTCTCACACTTCTCTACCAATACCATCTAGAACTCTCTCTCTCACTATCTATACTTTCAGTTTCAAGTTTTAGATCAAAACATTAGAATATATTTTCGCAGCCATGGTTGACTTTACAGTTTTCAAAGGGTCGAAGGGAGGCAAGATCATCAAATCCCAGACCAAGAGGGAACTCGGCCACGATGAGGTCCTCATCAAAGTCACACATTCAGGCGTCTGCGGAACCGACGAGCATTTCAAGGAAGCAGATATGGTTCTCGGCCACGAAGGCGCTGGTATCATCGAAGTAAGTCCCCTCCCCCAACCATACTCTCATCTATCCTGTCCCATATCTAACCCCCCACCAGGAAGTCGGCTCCTCCGTAAAAGCCTACAGCAAAGGCGATTCCGTCGGCTGGGGTTACCAGCAAACCGCCTGCGGCCACTGCAAACAATGCATCACGGGCCGCGAAACCCTCTGTCCCGAGCGCACAATGTACGGCACCGCCAACTTCGACACGGGCTCCTTCGCACACTACTCTATCTGGAAAGCAGCCTTCATCTTCGCCATCCCCGCCTCCATCCCCCGCGAATTCGCAGCGCCGCTCATGTGCGGCGGCGCCACCGTCTTCAACGCACTGCACTCGTTCGGCGCTAGATCCACGGACCGTATCGGCGTCATCGGCGTCGGCGGATTAGGGCATCTGGCGATCCAGTTTGCGGCTAAGATGGGCAATGAGGTCGTTGTGTTTAGTACCACGGATAGCAAGAAAGCTGAGGCGCTCAAGCTGGGCGCTACGGAATTCGTCGCTACGAAAGGCGTGCAAGAGTTAAAAGTGTCCGGGAAGATCGACCACCTGCTCGTCACGACCTCGCAACAACCAGACTGGAAGCAAATCCTACCCATCATGGCGCCGGGGGGCACCATCTACCCGCTCAGCGTATCGAGCGAGGACCTCAAGATGCCGTATATGCCCATCATCGCGTCGGAGCTGACTGTGCAGGGGAGTCTGGTGGCAGCGCGGCAGGTGCAGCGGGATATGTTGGCGTTTGCGGCACTGCATCAGATCAGGCCTATTATTGAGACGTTTCCGTTGACGGCGGAGGGCATTGAAGAGAGTATGAAGAAGTTGGAGGAGGGGAAGATGAGGTATAGGGCTGTGCTTGTTGCGGAGTAGGGCAGTTTGTTGCGGGATAGAACAACACGTTGCGGAGTAAAGTGGTGTAAATGAAAGGAAGGCATAATTTAAAAAGCAGGGATTGGTATGGGGATGTTTTGTTTTGGCATAGCATTGCAACGGCGCAAACAGGGAGCGAATTATTTATAGAATGCCAGTGTAGCCAGCTACATTTGCTTTTGATAACATTAGAATAAGAATAAAATCAACATACATCCCCATCATTCCAAACTTATATGCATTGCTTCGTATTCGAATGTGGGAGCTACCTCGGGTACGTAAGGATTGCCATCATCCCAACAATTAACGGAACCAGGCCAAGGAACAGGACAGGCCTATCCGCTTCCAAATGCAACAAAATATGCACAATAAAATGTACGCGCTGATTAAGAATTGAGGCTTCTCAAGCACAGAAATTAAAGTAGCGTGTGGCATTTCGTCAAGGTCAAGTTCTGACATGATTGTGCAATGTACAAGTCGTAAAAGTTCACGTGGCAAGCTTGATGAGAAACTTGTTCTCATTCTGGATATCCCAGTAAAATCATTTTATATGCAAGTCGCCGTTCCGAGGTACTGTAAGCTCATAATATACATAACTGGTGCCGCACCATTACCATGAAGTCAATGCGATTGGGGCCCTTCAAGATATTCCTAGGCAACCGCCTATCTCAACCAAGATGGCAATCGACCAGCACCAGCAGTGGCATATCGATTAGCACCAAACGCAACGGCAGCGACCAACACCCACCTCACCAAGCCCGCCTTAAAACTAGGACCTCCTAGGGCAAAAAAAAAAACTCAACCAGTAACCAAGGCCCTTGATCTCCTTTCCGTTCCTGTCAAAGTTGGCCTTCTTACCGTTCATCTTCCGGAACTTCTCGAGTTTGCCGGCGTAAGGTGGATAGCGGATGTCGAGCATCTTCTCGATCCAGCCGGGTGTGGTGGTGATGGAGCGGCGGTGCGTGAATGTGTCGAAGGAGGCTTTACCTCTGTAGGCACCCTGGCCTGAGTCTCCCACCCCGCCGAAGGCGAGGGTTGGGATGGAGCCATGGTAAAAGGCATCGTTGATCGAAGCGCCACCGGATGTTACTTCGTTGAGGACTAGAGGATTGATGTTAGTTATGCTATTGAGAAACAGTAGTCATCCTTGGGCCGGATGCGAGGCTCGACGCCGCATTCAAGAGAGAATTAGGGAACTCACTTTTTGTCGTCTCGGCTTTTGATCCGAAAGCATATAAACCCAATGGTGTTGAATGGACGGAATTGGCAGTACGGATGGCCTCCTCGATATTATCCACAGCAAGCAGAGGCATCAAAGGGCCAAAAGATTCATCCACAATCATCGAATCGTTTTGATCCTGAACGAGAACGACCGTAATCTCAATGAAGTTGTCAGACTCGTCCATCTCTCCACCAATCAAGATCTTCCCCTTCGAATCGTCAACCATCTTCTTGATTCGCTGAAAGTGTCTATTATTGACGATTCGCGCAAAATCTTCGCTGTTCCTCTGACCTTTTGGATAAAACTCCTTAATCGCGACTTTCAGCTGCTCAATAAATGCTGGCAAGATGTCCTTTTCAACCATGATATAATTCTGACTGATACAAACTTGGCCTGCGTTATGTAGCTTTCCCCACAGCAGTCGGCGGGCTGCAAGGCGAGCATCAGCATGATTGGTGACAAAAGCTGGATTTTGTCCTCCAAGCTCTAGACAAACTGGAGTAAGAGTCTCGGCTGCCTTTTTGGCAATAATAGTCCCAACGTTACCGCTGCCAGTGTAGAAGATCTTATCCCACTTCTCGTTCAGCAAAGCAGTGCTTTCTGGGATACTACCATTAACGACTGCGTAAGCATTCGGGTCGAGGTATTCCTCAACTATTTTCTTGAGAACCATTGCGCTGGCGGGTGAGACCTCTGAGGGCTTCAGAACAGCGGTGCATCCTGCGGCAATAGCTCCAATAAGGGGGCCGAATGAAAGCTGGATTGGGAAGTTGAATGCGCCAATGATTAGGACTGTACCGAGGGGCTCCTTCTTGATCCTGGGACTGAATAGCTTGTTTTGTAGATCGATGTCTGGAGCAGACTCATCCTTCGCCCACTTCTCCAAATTCTTTGTCACGAATATAATGTCGTTCATACACCAGTCTATTTCCGAAATGCCTGTTTCAAATACTGGCTTTCCCAAATCTTTCTTGCATGCCTCTGTGAGGGCTTCCATGTTATCATGCAAGCCCCACCAGAGCTTGCGTAGCTGGACAAGTCGATAGGCAACCGGCTTCGATTTATGTGTTCGGAAAGTGGTCTTGCAGAGGTTGACTGTGCTTGGGATAGACTCGACGGCCGTGGCCTCGAAGGGTGCGATGACAGGTGCCATGTTGCAAATTCTATCCAAACGCAGGTCAGCAACGCTGTAAATTGGTTCTATGTAACGTTGGTAGAGTCTCTAGAAGCCATTGAAAGTAAAATGGAGACAGTTATAGACGACCATAGATATTGAGGCTCATGGGGGTGAATTGAGTACAATCTAAGCACTTGCTCTTGTTCGCATGGCGTGAACTTCAATTCGTCACTGACTTATCAATAATGAAGCTGTTTCTCTTTGAATCTCAAGACCTGGCAAGATACACGAAAAAAGCCTAAGCTTAAAGAGTTTGGTGGTACAATACCAAACAGCTGCACCTCATACATGTAGACAACGGCGGAAATCAGGATATGATCAGAGGAAAGCATTAAACTCAAATACTCACATGTTGGTCGTAGTATTAGTCTCTCGATAGAATCAGAATGGTAAGAAGCTCAGATGAGATTCATGTCAAGTTCAAAGGAAGTTTCACATGAATGCCTCCCTCAAAGCTTCTTGGATGGTGGCCGAAGCTTCGATTCACATGCGGGGAAAGCTCTCTCAAGTACCGAGACTATTTCGGCGTTAGGCGCAAAGGATCGCATTCCATACCCGAACAGGAGGAAAGATTGGACCGACTCGACGATAGCGCTTACTGCTTTGGGTCGCGATTTCATATTTTAGAATTGATACAATGCTAACATAGAGAATTAGAAGAATTGTATAGCTTTGAATGTAATCATTGAGATCGAATTAGCGCTGACAGTTCAGCGTGGGAGATAAGTGGTTCAAAGGCTCTCGGAAGCTCGTGTAGAGCTATGAGCGGGGCACTATTCCCATCATACCTTATTTCATATAGAAGCTAGCATAAGCTCCGATATATATTTAAATATGTTTTTGTTATAGAAAATAATTAGGCATTTTCGGATTTCTAATACTATTGCAAGTAGCGGTTTTATTCTATGTGAGATGAACGATTCTACGCCCCACTGCCAGCGCCAACTCCATATTAGCAATTACGACGGTAACGAGTTATAAAAGGTAGTAATAGGATTGTTCATGGTACTAGGTGGTTCTCTTGCCATACTTGTTTCTCGTGGCACCATAGTTGGTTTCCTTTCAGAGAGCTCATAGTAACCTCTCCTTTCCTCTACCGGTGCTATAGATATATGTTCTATAGTGTACAATCGAAATTACTCGGTGTATTTACAATATCTTACACAGTCATTAGATCGTATCTCCTTTCCGCTACTACCTCCTGACAGCTACTTTCTTCCCTTTAGCTTTCCCACCCGCCACTTTCCCACCCGCCGAGACCATTTCAGGTAGAGCTACTTCAGCAATAGGTCGAGAGACGACCTGCTCAATTTGCTTAAGACCATCCACTAATTGACCTTCCAACTCTAGTTTTTGATCCTTCTGCTCCATCTGTAACCTGTATTGGGCCAATTGTTCGCGTCGTTCGTCTGTTAAAACCCACTCCTTGGGGAATCGCAGCTTTGGCTTGAAGTGATGATGTCGAATATCCAAAGGTACATCCGCAAACGTATCCGTGGGGTCCTAAAATCATTAGACGGAATATATTTTAGAATAGTAGGATACTTACTCTTGCTTCTTTGAGAAGCGTATCAACCAAGTCACCTAGGTATCGCTTGTTCTGCGCCTGCGTCTCGTACATCTCACAGTTCATTCGAATAATATCCTCCTCCGGATTGTACCTCGTGCCAGCAAGCTTTTTCAACTTGTCCCTCTGAATCGATGTAAGGTTTGGCATATCCGCTGGAGAAAACTCAACCACAACTTTCTTCTCTGCTGGATGGCTCTCGCCCATATATGTGGTATATCTGAAGCGCAATGACATGTCTCCTGTGGGCGGTTCGAATGGCTTTGCTAATTCTGTGTTTGTCTATTAGTAACCGTCCTACAAATTGTGCTAGATATGCCAAACAACGTACTCGACAGGAGCGGCAGCTCCCACGCCGCCAATCTGGCATAATGTCTCCATTCCCTATGCTGTTCCAACTCCCCATGTGCCAGTGACGGAAGATCATCATGTCCATCTTCATCAAAGTCACCATCTTCAAAAGGCTCAGGGTCTCCCAAATTCAAGAACGTATCCTTAAGCTTCTGCCTCCTCTTCCACAGATCAGGCCCCACGGGACCGAACTCAATCTCCGCATCCAGGAGATTCTGCAGTTCTTTCTTGTCTGCTGCCAATTCCTCATCTAAGTTGTAGCCCACAGCTTTTTCGATCTTTTTTAGCACATCTTTCTGCTCGGGGCTGCGTTGCGTTTGAAGTCGTAAGGTGGTAGTTGCAAAAGCTCTCCGGCGAGCAATTGACTGAGCTGCACATCGACGTGATAATGGCGCACAGGCACAGCTTCGCGCTGTGAAGCGGAAACCTTGCAGAGCTGATGCCATGACTGGTGGTTTGAACAATTCGTTGTTTGGGTCTGGAACAAAATTGTACAAATCGAGGTCGGAATTTGCTAACCTTAATTGAGACTAAGTCAGATATCTGGCGTCACAAAATTGATATTGGAACACCTTAGGAAATAGAACCTATCATTACCGTTGAGATATCTTCAAATAACACAGAGACAATAGCATAAGATAATTTTTTTTCTGTGCCGTCTATCTTATCACCGCTGAGAATCCAAAGAGTCTCACACTATTGCTGCTCAAACAACGAGAAGCTCAAAAAGTATCTCTTGAGCGTGAAGCGGACCATCACAGCCGTGGCTGAATATTGGCCCCCCCAGCAGTATCTGATTCAGTTACCATCCTACCCTCCGAGTTCCTTTCACAGGAACAATCATGCATCGCGAGATTTTTGTCACAACAGGAGCAACAGCCGATTTCCAAGACCTACTGGCTAACGCCGTCTCGAATGAAACACTTCAAGCCCTATCTGATCTCTCCTTCACTCATCTGACAATCCAAGGAGGGAAACTGGGCGACTACTTCCAAGAGATCAAACCAGAAAATACTAGGGGAATTAATATCAGATTTTTTGATTTCAACAAGAATGGACTGCAGCAAGAGATGAAAGCTTGTCAGGCGAGGGAGGGTGTTTCTGAGGAAGGGTTGGTGGTTTGTCACGCTGGTAAGATTTTTATTATAGAAGAATATCAGAATGGTATTGATGCGATGTAGGAGCTGGTACGATACTCGATGCTATGCGTCTAGGGTTACCGTTGGTGGTTGTTCCAAATGTGTCGCTTTTGGACAATCATCAAGAGGAATTGGCGGATGAGCTAGAGAGACAAGGTTATGTGGTAAAATCCGATACCAAGTATGTTACTATATCCTTCGATCTAAGACGTCTAAATGCTTCATTTGGCACCTCTTTGTCCCTTCTTTCCCTTTTCCGTCAGGAAATGAGGAATGTCTTTCGCCTCATTCCATGTCCTTTCTCCTGAAATCTATTCCTGCTCTACTTTGCAGTTTACTGACGTTGAAATAGAGACCTGGCAGCTGCAATCAAGAAATCTACTCAGATATCGAGAAAGACATGGGGTACCTCCACAAACGAGAGGGGTGGCATTGCACCCATAGCCGACAAGTTAATTGGATATGAAGAGGAGGTGAAAGGACGATTGGATTGAGTTGCCTACGGACTTTGTAGGAGTTTCGGCGTTAATTTTAGGTACTGTAAAAGGGAAAGTGATACCCCTCTGTGAAAATAAATAACAAAAGTTTCATCGTTGAATCTCTACAATCTTGTACCAAGTGATCATGGCTACTTTTTCGTTTCTCGAGAGTTTTCCGTTTCTGCTTCCGGTACATTCATTATGCTTTATTTCCAAATGGTATTCTAAACCTAGATCTCATGTCAGCCATTAGCAAGTGATGGCCTAGGAATATGCCAATCATCCCTTCATACAACTCCTTTACCTTCCACTTATCCCCATATTACAAGACACAATGACTCTCAGCTACTTAGGCTTTCGGGTATGAATCTTAGATGAATCACTTAAGACTAACTCTCTTATCATACCCCCTATCTGCACAAATCCACAGACAGCATATATCCATTGATCTCAAAACATAATACCCCTCCGTCCATCCAAATTCCCAGAAAACATGCTTAAGAAATACATACATACACTCATAAACCACAATAATGAAATTACGGACAAGCCTGACCTGGTGTTAGAATCTAGATTTCCTATAAGGGCGTCCTCTTACAAAATATGCTTGAATATGAGCAAGACCCACGTTAATTAAGAGAAGTTATTCCGCATGGTATAATAGCTACAGGTTCAGAATCTTGAAAATTATGATACTGAGATCTATCTGTTAACTTAGTTTATTGCCCTTCACATACCATATCCATATCCATAAGCACAAACGGCATTTGAAGAAGAAAACCCGAGCTTTGTTATTTAGCTCTCATCTACATTCCTCCTATACCCTCACCATTACATCAACCCATCCCAGCCCCCAACCCCCAACCTCCCCCATCTCCATCTCTGATCCACCCCTCCAACCCCCAGCGCCAAAACCCTCAAATCCACCCTCGCATTCTCACTCCCCTCCAACACGCACCGCACCATCTCCCACTCTTTGCGCCGCATGGCCCGTCCCTGTACCTGCAGCAGAATCTGAACCGTATGTGCGTTTCGAAGGGGGCCTAGGATGCTGTATGCTAATGCTTCTGCTTCGGGTACGCTTTGTTCGTTTTCTTTCCCACCAGGGCCTTCTTCTAGTTGCTGTGGGGGGTGATAATGCTGCTGCTGCTGCTGATGCGTGTATTCCTCGTCGTGTTGTTCTTGATGTTTGAGACATCTTTGGGTATTAATTCTAGACTGTGCCTGTAGCTGTGGACGTAAAGGCGCAGGCTGATCTTCCAGCGGGCGCGGTGGTTTCTGATTCCCTGTTGCCTCCCAAGTCTGCGCTCGTTTCTGCGGTCTATAAAACGTCGTTTGCAAATACCCATCTTCTCTACACACTACCCGAAAAGTATCTGTCTCCGAACTCCCTCGTCTATCACCATCCAAGCGTTCCGAAACAGGTATATGCGTATTCCTCCTTCGTCTAGCACCTGATCTCTTCAACGGCGAAGCTTGGGAGGCAGGAGCGAGACTAGTTGTTGTACGCCTATGCTCAAAAACAGTACTTTGAGCTCTTTGTCGCCCGTGATCAGCTGCAGCTGTAGCTATATCTATATCTACCTTTTCCGTCAACGTAGATACTACCAGCCTCGCAGAACCAGAACTTGACGGTGCCCCTCCACTTCCTACTGCGTTTGAAACCCCATAAATGTGCTGTGGAATATGCTTGCATACATTGCCAGTACCATCACCAGTACCCATCGTATCTGCGCCACTTCGAAACCCCTCGAATGGGGTTTCCGGCCTCTTAATCTCATGCTCAAGCTCATGCTCATAGTCGCGCTCGCGCTCGGAATCGCGCTGTGAATACCAATCCAGCGGTCCGAAATCAACAGGCGGAAGAGGTTGGAATATCCCTGTCCCTATCCCGATCTCTGTCTCTCTAGGACCTCGTGAGTCGAGACGTAGCGTTTCTTCATTTATCACTACCAAATATAACTCGCATTAGCATCGCTCACTCGAAAATTGACTTGTGCGTGCATACGTGGATTAGACGTAACCGTACCATAGCTTTCGTATCTTTGCCTATGTTTTTGTTCTCGTTGTGCATTTGCATTTGCTTCAAACGTGGCAGGGGAGCGTGATCGCAGGCGAACCAGATGGATGAACTCGGGTGGGATCTGTTGGTAATATGGCCGTGGACCTTGCGTGCTAATGGAGGAACGACTCGAAATCTTGTTGCTGTTGCTGTTGCTGTTGCTGCCGCTGTTGATGCTCTCGCCATCCCCATCCCCATACTCATATCCCGAGTCTCTACTTGGCGCGGATGGAGTAGAGCGTTTCTGAAAGGAATTAATCATCATAGCGCGTATACTGGTACTGTATGTCTTGCAAAGATGATGAATGGGGATTTGTACGATGACTCGGAGTTGAACTACAGTACCTGCGGAAATCAACATGTTTTGAGATTGTGGGTGAATTGATATTCACAAAGACCTAGCTGTTCTACGCACGGCTAACAAGCTCTCAATATTAGAAGACGTTAACCCTCGAAAAATGAATTTCATTCTATAATAGGATTTACCAGAATGAAAGTCTAACGCAAGCAATTTTCATAAAACATCAATGCCTTCATTAAGCTCCAGAAGCCTTGGAGTTTTCATCCATCATGGCCGTAATCTGGGCGTCAACCTGTCTTTCTTCCTCGGTAGACCTTTCACCCTGCCCATTTCTGCCGTGAGCTGGGGATTTCTCATCGCTGTCTTCTTCGCTGCTATCACTTTCGTGAATACTATCACGATTGGTCTGGCGGCTCCTAGTCATCTAAACAGGTTGTCAGCTTCATACCCTACACACTGGAAGGGGGAAGACAACGTACCCATGATCTAACACCGCCAATCAAACCCAAGCTATATCCAGTGGCAAAATCGCTTCCGGGGCCTGGGCTATCAGGTCTAGGGACTTCCAGACGACGAGTGAGATGCGAAAGAGCAGATGGGCTGGAGAGCGAGCCACCTTTTGAGGAATCATCGTAGCTTGCCATTCTAGCAGGACTGCCAGGTCGGCTGGCTTGCCAGAATTGTTTGATCTCTTTGCCTAGTTCCTGGCCGGTAGTACTCCAATTGGACCGAATAGAATCTCTCATCTCTGTGACATGACGTTTGAGATCAAGCTCGTTCTTCTTCAGCCATGATACGTTGAGTTCTTGACGCGAAGTTCCGCGTTTGAATTGACGGGCAATGTACTTTTCATAATCACGAACAATCCTAATTAGATGATTAGCTTGAGTAAAATCACGAATAATTCACGGCACTTACTTGGTGATTATCCCAGTAGTACTCACGCCCTCCGTCCTTTGTGTGACCAAAAACTTCCCCGCTTCCTTAATCGGCTTGTAGATATCATCGCCCTCATCAGCACCATATGGAAGATCATCATGAGCAACGTAGTCGATCTTCTTCTCCTCCAGAAATTCAGGTGTAACAATCCATGGGCAGTCATCGATAACCTCGTCGACCCACTTGCAATGTCTGACTGTCTCAGCGCGCTCTTGTCCCGAGAGTACAGTAAGTCCTTTTCGCTTATGTGTCTCTTTATCGCCCGTCACACCAACGAGAAGATAAACGTCTGGGAAGGCCTTCTTGGCTTGTTCGAGCTGGCGCATGTGCCTGTCGGGGAACGATTAGCAGAAGCTCATGATCAAGAACGAAATTTGACCATACCCAAGATGAAACAAATCAAATACACCATCCGCATACACCCGAACCGGTCTGCCAACGGGAGGTTCGTTCGTCTTGTACCCAACAGGGTCCGTCAACTTGCCAATGGGCGGTGGCGCCATAATCTGCGACTTTTCCTCATCTTCTTTCGATATGCTCTTCCGCCCTTTCTTTGTGACTCGGTTTGCAATATCAGTGCTGCCTTCAGTTGTGTCGGAGGGCTCGCCAGGGTCTTGCAACCCGTTAGAGGTCTTCTCGTGAGTCGATGAACGCAATCGCTTCGCCGGCGGGTTGGACGCGTCGATTGAGGTGCCCTTTTTGTGTTTTAAGCTGGGCTCCGGGGCTGTGGATTCGCCATCCTCACCGGATGCGTCTCGGGATGAGGCTTGTAGTTGGACTGCTGGTACAGCTTCGTTTCTCTTCCGCTTTCCCGAACCGCCCGATAAAGGAGAAGACATTGCGTGTTTGGGAGTAAGGGGAGGGCGTCGAAAAATGGATGGAGAGGATGAAGAAGTAAAGAAGGATTTCGGGTTTGGGGTCGAAGTTTCCTTGACTTTTGTTGGTTTGTAGTTGCTGAGTGTAAGAAAGTAAATGGGGTTGGCAGGGGTTGGCGAGCTAGAAAGGGGAGATTAATTGTGATGCGATGCTGGGGAAGTTGGCCGGGTCGGATCGTCTCAGGACAATTTCCGGACGAAGAGAAAAGATGTATTGTTTGAATTCTGGGGGAAAGGGAAAGGGTGAGCGAGTATTGATCTGATTCCTCATGTCGACATCAATAATCTGGTCTGACCGTGTTTCTTAAACTACCTACGGAGTACATGTGGAGCTTGGCTTGGCTTGGGAACCGGAAACGTCAAGTCAAGAAACCTGGCAGCCAATCCTGGACCTCAAGCGTCATATATCACGTGGAAAATACACTAGGTGCACGGTCCATGCCGGACAAGGCTGAGACTCGGAAGATCTCTAAGTAGGTAGAGTACTTCCACCAAGATATTAGTAGCCTTCCCTTCCCTTCTCCAAATGTCGGTAAAATACTATAGCTATCGTCTCACACAAACATATGATATGATATGCTTTTGCGAGTATTTCTTAGGTATCAATTGGCTCCGCTTGATTCGATATAATGCAATGCAACTGCTGACCATCTTCTATGCATCATTCCTGTGAACATCTCCCGTGCAAAAGAAAAGCACTACGAGTATAAGGCAAGACAAAACAAAACAAACCCGCTGCGTGATGAAGATCGTGATTCAGGAAAACATGATGAAAACCGCCGCCACTGCGGATTTCGGGATAACTGCCTGTCGATCGAGAAAGTGTTCATGATTTGCCGCCCGTCTCCCTTTGGCCTATTCCCGTCGCCCACTCAGCCTCATAAAGCTGAAACATAATAAAGCAGGAAAGCGTCAAATTTTCATTCGCGCCCTGCTATAAAAGCACAAAACTTTGCCAATTCTAATCAAAGCCCATCCGTCTAGATAGCTAGATACCGCTTTTCAAAGAACGAGCAATCGCATCAGTAATATCTCCATTGAAAATGGTGTTATGAAGCCCATTCCGTGTAAACTCCTGAAATTGTTGGTCCTACTGGCCCTTGACCTCAGCTTTCTCCGCCGTGATTTCTTTCGAGCCTATAGAACTGGTAAGAAAGCTGTTCGCAGCAGAGTCATCTTTGATATATGTACCCTCTTTCTTTTCTGCATCGGTGGATGGCTTGGAGTCGGTCTCTCGGCCGCTGATTGTGCCTTTATGGACTTGGCTGTCAAGGTCTTTATCTTCGTCTTGGTGGTCAAACATCTCGGTGTCATCGGAATCTGTGAGGACTTCAGTTCCATCACCAAGAAGAATAATACGGCCGCGTTGGTTACCACCGAAAGTCTTCGATTTTTGGTCCATGTCAACATCGTACCCGCTATCACTGTCATCGAAGTTATGGTGGACACCTGGGCCTCTGAACTCAGCTGTTTTAATCATTAGCCTTGTTTCCCTTTTGAAGAGCTGGACAGGCTACTTGCCATACTCTGGAGGAGCACATGGGCCATCTCCATTCGCAACTCGCTTTGCAATTTCTTCGTACCACTCGTCCTGGGTTTTGCCGCGCAACAGACCAATAATGACTATAGTCATGTTGTCGCAACCAACTCCGCCCGTCTCGGAATTTGAAGCCAAGCAGTTGTCCATCATGTTTTCACAGATCTTCGTAAGGTCTTGCTTGGCGGCAATTCCGCGTCTAACAAATTCGACAACTGCTTGCGAAGACTGGCAATCCCAGATACCTGTAGGTAATGTTAATATGCTGCACCATGCTCGTTACCGTTTACTGAGCTCACCATCACATGCAACAACTAGAAACTCGTCGTCGTCAGAAATATCGTGAACAGTGACGTCTGGAAATGCGGTAACAATCTGCTGCTCAGGGGCAAGCTCGGCACTCTTCTTGAATTCAAAATCGCCAATAGCTCTTGACAAAGCGAGGTTTCCGTTCACACGCCCGAAGTCTACGAATCCTCCAGCAGCAGTAATACGTGCCTTCTCGCCTGTGCATATGTTAGGGTCATATTTCCATATGTAAGTCAGCATGTGCATGTTTACCTTCATTCTGGGGTTTGTGATCGAATGAGAGCGGCTTGGCACGCCCCTTCACTCCCAAAACGGTTCGGGAGTCACCAGCATTGCCCTACATAGTCAGTATAAATACCTCTTATGCCATCATCAAGATACCACATACCACATAGATCTTTGTTGCGGAGAGAATACCAACAGATGCGGTGCAGCCGGAAACTTCTTCCTCGTACCGTGGGTCTGCAGAGCACGAGTCAGTTTCCCATCAACCCGTGTTGTATTTATCGAGCATGCTGACCATTGAGAATTGCGCGATCCGTAGCGAGAAATCCATCCTTTAATGCCTGCTCGATATCCCCCTTCTTGAAAGCCTCCTGCTTTGCAATGATCTGGTGTATATGCTCCCCAGCGAACTGGGCGACCCGGTCACCTCCATGTCCATCATAAACTCCGAAGAACGACAGTCTTTTGTCAATACCAGTCGTGGGCTTCGCAGCCGCACCATCCTCAGCAGCAGTTTGTAAATCAAGCACCGCCGCATGTGCATCCTCCATACTGATACGCCATCCTTGCATAGACGATACACCAAATATCAAGCGCTCATCGCCACCGCTGTCTGAGGTCTAGCAAGACGAATATGTCAGCAATTTCCCCAGATTTAAAACGCAAAAGACTGTTGACAATAATGTACGCAACCGCTCATCAACGACAAAACATAATATAGCAAGCCTCTTCGCATACTATGAGAATTCAATCATTTCTGAGCGTTTGTTTGTACAGCCCTCGCACTACTAGCTGACCGAGGATCGGCCATCCCGCGGAGGCGGGACATCCAGTGACATCCAGTGACAACGGCATTGTAGCAGAAAGAAAATGATTGCATACCTTCTCTACGACCGGCTCGGACAAGGTCTGACCCATATTGACGGTTCGAAAGCTCTCAATCTACGACTGAAAGCAATTTGGGATCCTAGCTGGCTCTGGCTCAAAAGTTTTGCCTTCGAAAGCGCGAGGAAGAAAGAGGTGCGGGGTCAATCGCGTGGAAGGCGAGGGTCGAGGGGTATGTGGAGGGACTATCTGTCCATGTGTAGTAAGAATGAGGGCGTATGTACTGGAATCGTCGCGGGGAGGGGATAGCTTTCTGGAAGGGTCGCGTGTGGGGGAGAGGAGGAAAATATGACGGATTTGCGAGGCCTTCTCTCTTTGCTTTGGGGAGATGTTCTGACTAGGGCCTTTTCGGCTAGGCAGGTCGTTCGTTTTTAAGGCAGCGGCGTGGGTTATGTACAAGCAGCGACGGATATTATAATTAGGAGGAGGGAGGGCATTCGAAAATAGATTCATGTGGTTCTTGATTGTGAATAACCTCTTACTTTTAATGCGGGCAGCTTAGGACTTCGTCAGGAAGATTCACGCTCATCATATCTGTGGTTGGTTGCTCTTGGGGCGGATGGAAATGTGTTGGCCTCTGGAAATAATGGCTTCATCTTCCTGAGCGATCATGAGCCAGATTCATGGTGGCGTGCCGTGCATAGATGGGGTGGGCAGGGCAGGCAACGGCGCACTGATCAGGGCACGATGGTGCATGCACCCTGATGCGTCATTAAGTTAGGGGTTGGGGTTGGGGTCTAAGCCATCCTTGCAATCATTGTTTGGATTGCCCATCGTACTTATGCAATTTACGCCTGGGGATTGTTATTACTATTTATTGTACAAGGTTTCAATACGAGTAGACAGATAAATAAGGCAAGAGAGACGAAATAACTTCAACTACCTAGGTACAAAGCAAAGCTTCAGCAGCTCTAGAGAAGATATACTTCAGTATAACGAAAATCAGCGTCTAACTTCCCTTGTGGTACCATAACGAATGTCCCAAGCCAGGTAGGACAATAGACTTTCAATCACTCGTATCGAGTCTAGGTATATCCTTGATCTATATGAACTTCAACCAGTGATGAGAAGAATGCTGCGAAATAAGACCTGCTCATAAAGCTTTGCATTCTCTATTTATCTATAAATCCAAACACTTATTCAAAAAGACCATGCACACCCCTCCACATTACGCCCCTATATATACGCCGAATAATCATCTGGATCTTCTCCACCTCCTTCATCGGCTTGTCTTTCCACCCTCGCCCTCACACTCCCCGTCGTCGCCGTCGCATCAACACTAATGGGCCTCCTCCCTACCCCCTCCACCATTCTTACACCAACGCCCATCTCCGTCATCGGGTCAACCAACAACTTCGACTTGTGTCTCCCCGTCGGCACAAAGCTCATTCTGCTTTTCGCCTGCGCTGCTTTGGCTGCTGTAGAGACTTTAGGGGATTCGTCTTCGCTGTATTCTATTATATTGCCTTGACTATCGCGGCTAGGTGGGTGCGTTTCCCAGCTTCCTTCGGAGTAATAGTCTTCATATTCATCGTCATCGTCGGCGTTTTGGGTTGGGATGGCTGGATGTTGAGATTGGTGTAATGATTGCATGGACGGTTCAGCCGACTCGAACCGGCTATCTGTAGATTGAGTAGAGCGGACACTCTCTCTGGTTTTTGTGCGGTGTAGTTCGCCTATGTATGTCTTCAGCTGGCGCGTTCCTTCGCGGGCTAGGCCGTAGGTACCATATTTGATGCCCAAAGAGTCACGCGGAGGTGTGTCTTCTTCTCGGAGGCCGTGTAGAACTACGTTCTGTAGGCTTTCCATGCGGGATTCTTCTGGGACGGTAGGGGAATCAGCGTAGGATCTGCGGGCACGCTTGGGAGACCTCAGGGAGTCTCGAACTAAAGAGCCACCGAAGAAGGGCGAGGAGCCAACGCGTCTACTAACAGGTCGAGAGCTGTGAGATGCATGGCTACTCTGTGAACCTCGTTTTGCAACAGCTATGGGCGGGCTTTTGGCGACTGCTCGAATGCTCATGCGCATGCTGCTTCTTGGGTATGTGTCTGAGTATGCGGATGTGGCGCTGACGTTACTGTGTCGATTTGAATCGGCGACTGTTAACCATGTTCTCGAGTTTCTTACAAGGGCAGTGGGCTGGCTAGAGCTTGACATCCATTCCTGACCGTTCCATACGCTCCTTCCTTTCACGCTTCTGCTGGATAGAGATGATATCGATGCTCGACCGCCATGTCCAATACCACTCTGCTTCCTATCAAACGCAGCGGGAAGCCTTGGCTGTCGCCTTTTTGACCTTCTGTTGGCTGGTCTATCCATTACATTTGAGACTTCGGGCTTCTTGCTCACACTTTCATTCCTAGAAAGCGCAGTAAAGTTCTCCAATGGTGTGAAAGAGAAGGTGCTATCCGTCAAATTCAGTATTGACCTTTCGGACTGTTGACCTGACGACGTGTTACAGCTCTCTCTAATGTTTCCAACAAGATTCGAAGACAAGACTCGAGCCGAGCGTCGCGTATGACCTTTCCTTGAGAAGTTGGAATACGTCCGTGTCAACCGGTACGAAGAATTCGTTATAGAAGACGAATCCCCCGTTGGGTGCGAGCTGTCCTGCGTAGATCTCCAACTCTTGTCCGTTTTGGACAACGCATTTTCCGAATAGGAACGTATTCTATTGCCCGAGCTCTCCAGCCCCGAACTCGTTCGCTTACTCATATCTGATTCCCGCGCTCCAAACATGGAAGTTGTAGTTCGAGACCGTCTTAAAATTCGATCAGGGATCTTACTAGGGCTCATTCGCTTTTCGTTTGTAGTGAGGGCATGGTGTGTATTATCACTCAGAAATCCAGACGTATCTAAGTGGAGGGGATCAGGGGGCGCAACCCGTGGTGGTAGTACTATTTCTTCCACGCTCGAAATGGATCCTGCTTCAAGATTTTCGTGAGGAGCTGATGTTTCACTCTTGTCAGGGCTCCTTGATCGCTTTCTTGTTGAACGCCTGCGCTTTCGGTAGCAGAAGAGCGCAAACAGGACTGCTGCAAACACCACAAGTATTGGAGTGACGATAACTGCAACATGTCTGCTCAATTGATGGCTTGCGTGGGCTGGTGCTGGGGCTGGAGTAGAGATTCCAGTTCGAGAAGTAGTAGGTGAAGTTCGAGATGACGAGGGTGTTATTGACGAAATTGATTTGGTCGCCAAGATCACCGACAGTTCGAAGGACTGAGAACTGGACATCTGTGATGATTTCGAGATCGCATTCAAGGTGATTGTATTCATGGAAGGGTTCGCGCTTGTTGGGACTTGGCCAGACAGAACGAATGTCGAGGTATCGAAGGATAGCCATGATTCAGGTGGAGTAAAGTTGGCACTCATGTATATATCAGATGGATTGGTGAGGTAAGTACTTAAATTGTACGAAAATCCGGCACCTATTGTAGCATTCAGTATGGGAACTGACATACTAAACATCGAGGTGCCTGCAGCCAGTGATATTGTTGCATTTGCTGCGTCTCCATATATATCTGTTGCGAGTACTGAGATGTTGGCAGAACGAATATTTGGCGGAGCAGTTCCAGTCAACGCCATCGTCAAATTATCAAACACTAACCAAGGTGGCGTCTGCACATCCATTGAGGTGATTTCGGATGCATTTGCAGGTCGGCCATCTATTTGGAGGTTGTTCGAAAGCCCTAAAAAACTGATGTTGCTTCCTGCAGTGGTATTGATGAACATATCTGCATTGTTGAAGGCCAAAATATGTACTCCAACCTCGATATAGAAGACAATGGACGCCCCAGCAAACCCTTCAATATCAGATACGATAAGTCGTAATCCAAAAGTCTGCGGCGGTTGAATGAGAGAAGCATAGTCTGGAGACTGGCCGCTGAACGAGAGTGAGGTCTCGTCGAAAAGTACCCAAGATGGCAAGGGGGTATTATTGGCGGTGACAGCATAGTAGCTAAGGTTCGAGCTTCCACCATTAGCGGAAAATGTTTCGGGGTCAAATTTGAATTTGAATGGTGTCGATGGATGAAAGAGAATGGTCGATGGCCCGGAAAATGCACCGAAAGAAGGTAGTTGCAAAGATGGCGGTATGCTTACGACCGGTGCAGGATTCTTTGAGACCACCAGAGTTGCACTGAGAGTAATCGACCCAGAGGAATCAGTAGCCGTCAGACCGATAGCTACTCCAGTTACACTGTCTGTTCCAACATCAGCGGTGGATGGCGTTCCAGACAGTGTGCGAGTGGTACTATCTAGTGACAGCCAACTTGGTCCGCTGGATAAATTGTAGGTTATGGCGGAGGCCGAGGAGAAGGTCGAGCTCGGAAAGGTATATGCGAAGGGTTGTGATACACGCGCAATTGTAGGTACTTGAGAGTTGAGAGGGTAGTCAATTGTCGGAGCGGCATTCGTAATATTTGATATGATGGCAGCAGCAGCGACTATCTTCCACAGTGCCATTTTTACGAGGGAGTAATTGGTTGTGTAGATTAGTTATCCACCTCCGTCGTCCAACTTGTGCAAAACTAGACGGACGAGAACAGCAGAGTTGACATGGTTTAAAATCCACAGAAGAGTTTACAATAAGACGGATACAGACAGAATGAAACGGACATAATCGAGGGTGCCATCACGACCCAAAAATTTGGAGGCGCAGGCGGAGAATAGGGAGACCCGCTTATCGATGTGTATCGCCTTGCTTAAGGAATTTAACAGCAATGGAAAAGACAGTAAGGGCTACCAGGGCTGGGGACCAACCTTCCGATACTATCGAAGCCGAGTTCCTGGGGAGGCGAAAGGCTAGCATATTGTTTGAAGGCATTCCCATGCCACATTCCAGCCCCCGCCCGCAACTTCTAAATGCCCAGTAAACTGCGGCAACTGTTCAAAATCGCTCAGACATGACGGAAAATAAATGGAAGGCAGGCTTCTGGAGTTGAATGTGACCCATCATAAAGGAGAAGACAATTTGAGTTTTGGTCTCCGGCCGGAAGTGTCGAGTGGCGGATCGGTGGTCGAGGGCAATTCGAGGCATTTTGAAGGCTGCCAAATCGGTGCATGATCCTGGATTACCTGCATGAAACGAAGATCTTGAGTAGCTCATTCATGGGAATATTGGATGTGGCATAACCACAGCCCTTGACTTGTGAACAAGCAAAGGGTTGCATTTGACTGTTCACGAAGGGGACATTTGAAGGGGTAAAAAGGACGTCACGCTAGCGCAAAAAGTGGTGAACCAACTTACGGTAAGCGAGAAAAAGGAGGCATCGGTACGTACAGTATCGATAGATATCTTTCTGATCCAGCCCCCACCTTTCTCAAACACCTCAAGAGAACGCAAGCCATGCTATCCCGGTCTCCCTCTCCAGAGTTCTCGCCTCTATCAATCGGAGAAGACTTCACTCCTGTACCTACCTATAAAGCTGCATCAACCACTTTTATCGATCTCTCAAACTTGCTTGAACCTCCGCTACAACTCCACGAGGATCTAAAATCTGGTTGTGGCGGTCAATTATGGCCGGCCGGTATGGTTCTGGCGAAGCAGATGTTACGGTATCACAGAAACTCCTTGAGAAATGCTAGAATGTAAGCCACTCCCTTTCCCGATCATCTAGCAGTCACTTAGAGTCATATAGTCTTGAATTAGGCGCAGGCGGCGGACTGGTCGGCTTAGGCGTTGCTCTTGGCTGTTCTATTGATACGCCTATCTACATCACAGATCAGGAGAATATGCTCTCTCTAATGGGAAAAAATGTTACTCTCAATTCACTGCAGTCACGTGTACTGCCCCTAGTGCTGAACTGGTATGGACCCTGAGCTATGTATTGAAAGAGCCATTTATTAAAGAGATGATAGGGGTAATCCATTGCCGAAGGACATCATTGAACAGAAGCCCAACGTTATCCTAGCAGCCGATTGCGTGTACTTCGAGCCGGCTTTCCCATTGCTTCTCGCCACGCTAGAAGAGCTTCTTGAACTGAGCAAGGATGCGGTCATTTTTTTCTGTTTCAAGAAGCGCAGGAGAGCAGACATGCAGTTTATGAAGAATGCCAAGAAGAGATTTGTCGTTGAGGAAATCGAGGATGAGGAAAGGGGGACATTCTCTAGGGAGGGCTTGTTCTTATACACCTTTAAACGAAGGCCATGATTATTGCGAACAGGAAATGAAATGAAATGAATGATACGATGTGCCATAGTCTTTCATTATATGTGCAAGCTCTTAGTTTGATACATACTTACGAGCCTTCCTCTTTACCGACTTCCACCCATGTTTACACCTAGTAGGAAAGCAGGCTCATCTACCTTGTGGTGCTCGTAGCTCAGAACTCCTACGGCACCAGGTTCTAGCATCATAGGCAGGCTCGTGCTGAGAGGAAAGCCAATCCACCTTTTCGCAAACGCTCTCAAGATATGCCCATGGGCAATCAAGACCACGTCTGCGCCTTTCTCCCCGTGCATATATGGCCCTTGTATCTCCCTGATCTTCGCAATAATGCTATCAAGACGATTCGAGACCTCATCCGCTGATTCCCCTTCCTCGCACCCATCAACCCATATATTCCATGGTCTTTCCTTATCCAACCCACGCTCTTTACGAGCCGCTCTGATATGAGCAGTCAACAGCCCTTCATACGCACCATATTCCCATTCACGAATATCCTCAGTAGTCTCCGATTTCCCTTCGATCATCTTTTGTGCAGATTCATCAAACAGAAGCTCGTACGTTCGGCGTGCTCGCGTTCGAGGGCTGATGAACAGATGGGTTATTTTGGAGGGGTCGATGATCCTTCCTGGTCCAACGATGACTCCTGCAGAGGAGGATACTTGGTGTTCACCATCGGGGGTCAATGGGATGTCACTCCTGCCGGTATAGCGTCCTGAAATAGTCCATTCGGTCTCTCCTGTGTCGAGGTTAGACAAGGTTGTTTGAGAAGTCAAGTTTGGTATACCTCTCGAATTTATTCAAGAGAATGGAGGGTGATTCTCACCATGTCGGACGAGGAAGACTCGAGGTGTACCAGCGTCTTTGTCGGGCATTTTAGCTGTTCCTGCAAAGTCTGGAATGAAGTCGGGAAAATACCTATAAACCTGGCCTGGCCTGGGCATGGATCTTCATCACGCTAGGCTAAGATAAGATAAAGGAAGATAACTACTATCAACAGCTGTACAACTCACTCGCCCGAGGCTGAAGTTTTATGGTAATTTTGAGCATTCTTTCCAGATTTGAGGTCTCATTATAAAGAGTTAGTTTTTCGTTTACCTTGGAGTCATTCAAACGGGAGGCATAATGGCTTCCCTTCCTGCGGCGGCTATCGATAATAGACGTTGGGGTCAATCGACTTCAAAGTTCAGACGAGGCTGAAGTATATGTCGAGGAAGGAACGAGAAGAGCTCACATATTTACTCGAGTCTCCGCAGACGCCATCTTTTCCCTTTACTTTCATTAACATAGAGCCACTCGTATATTATTAAAGTCACAAATATAGATACCGCACATCGGTAAAGCATCGCTTACAGGTCTCAGGCTTCAATTCCTCCTGATTCGATTCATTATTTTGACCAAGCAGCACCCGACAGCCTTAGCTTTACTTACCTCCCTAGGTACTTACAGTACGGAAAAAGTCCGAAATGAGTTCACACCGGATATCAGGTCAACAGGCTCGTAGGCATTCTTGGCCCATGGACATGCCTTACCAGGAGTGGGAAGAGCCGGAACCAAGCCCACCAATTCAAGGCATCTCAAGACAAGAGAGTCGACAAAGTCGACTTTCTCAAATTCGAATCCAAATGCTGACTAGAGATACGCCACGTTCACGTTCACTAGTTCCACTCGTTCCAACCCCACCCCGGTGCATGTTCTGCCTCGAGAACATCAATCCGGATGGCTTGTCCTACAAGTGCTCGATGTGCACGTCTAATCATGTCTGTTCGCATTGCCTGAAAGAATGGTTTATGGATGCTTGCAAGAATGAGAGCAAAATGCCCCCAATGTGCTGCTCTGTTATTCCTCTTTCAAGTGTCTCAAAGCTCCTAACTCAAACACAAGTGAGTTCTGCAGAATATCTCAGATAGTCCGGATCATTATACTAATCTTCATCAGATAGACCTCTACAAATCAAAGCACGAAGAGTGGCTTACCTCTGATAGACTGTACTGCCCCCGGCTCTCTTGTTCAGCATTTATATCACCACGCTTATATGTCTCCGAGAGAGCGTTTTCAGGATCATCGAATTCTGTATCTGGAGACAACAATAATGTCCAGCCTATTTCTGGAGGATCACCACGCAGTATCAATAGTCAACTATCATTCAGTTAGACCGTATCACCAATAGGATCCCCGCTTTGGTTAGAACAAGACAACGGACTTCCAGACTCAGCACCCAGCAATCCCTGTGTCACCTGTCCTAGATGCTCTACTTTAATATGTTCCAAATGCCATTCTTTTAGGCACGACGACGAATGCCCAAAGACGGACCTCGATCTTGAATTGGAAACGCAACTGAGGAAGTGGAAAATCAAGCGTTGTCCGAAATGCCGCACCGGGGTAAAGAAAGTTTATGGTTGTCCTCATATGCTCTGCCGATGCGGGGCACAATTCTGTTTCAAATGTCTGGCGCCGATGCTGGAATGTAATGGATGCGTTGTCGACGAAGGTTCAGACAATGAACTAGAACAAGACGACTTTGTGGAAGATGATTTAGATGGGAGAGCGGGTTTCTATGATGGCGATGGTCGTGAATTTGGTGCCGAGCCTTCTCATTATGGTAGTCATTACATTTGGCAATGCGATCACAAATTTTCCGAAGTCTGGTTTGATACAGACGTACCAGATGCCCCGCGAACATTAGAATGCCAGCTATGCCTTCGAGAAGCAAAGGTTCGAGAGCTTCCAGTATTCGGCCAGGAACACCGAGGGGAGGGCAGAGAGGATGAAATCGCTTGGGAGTGTACGCGGAACTGCGGCATGGTTATTTGCGGTGGTTGCCTGTTAATCCGTTGGTTCTCATGAGTTTCCCGGAACCAGGACGTGTTTCTTCAATGGGCGTTGGTAACGGATGGGGGATAATGTTGAACAGGGCTCACTATTCGAATTTGCGAAACAGGGTTGAGGCCCTTGTACAAAGAGCGACACCTACTAGTATCATAACTTTAAGCTTCTACAGCGTCTAGGAATAACATTACAGTATCCAGCGAATTACCTCGTTCTCATTACAAAAAATGTCCTACCAATGTCTGTATGCTTCCCCCCCCTCCAAAAAAAAACATGTCATCCGATATATCGCACCATCTCTATCGCACTCTCACAGTGGCATGCTAATGTAGCAAGTAAGATTCTATCTACGTGCGATTTAGAGACTTACAAGAATTTTTTCCATGACTAGGTCATAGATAATTATCGAGCTGAACATGATTCATGAAAATCTCCCTCCATCCTCGACATAATCCTAGCCAATCTAGGGAGAAACGTCGCAAGGCCGCACGCCTGCAGAACTCTTGTTTGCATTCTTTAGAAAGATCGGCAAGGAGTGAGGGTGCAGTGCCCTTCTTGCTTCTCCTCCAAACTCAGATGATACTCTTAAGAACATGATAGATAGATATATCAAATCGTCGCTCGGGCGGTACAGGCTTTGAAAAGAGTGCTGGGGTATAATTAGATTGGAACAGTATGTACGAGTGTTTGGCAAGCGCTTAAGCAAGGTGAAGGTACGGAGTAAAGCAATGAATGAATGATGGAAGAGCCGTTTCGAAATTCGAACCCCGTCGGAGTTTGGGATCTTTTGAAAGCTCCTTGCTACTATATATTTCTCTGGTGGCTTATCATGCAGCAAACAAAGAACCTCTCATGTACACTCAAGGTTGTGTTACCTAATAGCTAGGGTAAGAGGGAGGGTCGGGGGAGACTGAGTGTAGTAGTTTGGTTTATTTGTTATACAAGAAAATCTATGAATTACATACACTATGTACAGGTCATTATTACAAAACCAACAAGTATTTAAACATCGGCATTCCTCACAGCGCCATCAGGAGCCTTCCCTGGTATCGTCTCGGGCGATGGTGTTGCTCGGCGAGGGACAGACTTGAGGCCATCGTGGTCATTGTGATCAATCTTTTGAAAGAGCTTGATGATCCGCCATTGCGTGTTTCTCTTATTCACGTCAATGTAGGCTTCCCTAGTAGCCAAATCCTTCACCACGAGCTCGGCCCCATCCAGATCACCATCACTATCATCTTCAACACTTTCTTCTGTCTCATCAACCATTTCCTCTACCTCTCTCTGTAGATTTTCCACCGCTGCAATCTCTCTCTCTTTACGCTCCTCTTCTAACCTCTGCATACCCTCAACCAGCGCCCTGCGATCACGCAGATGGCGTAGTGTAGAAATAATTTCTTGATCGGGTGTATAGCCAGCCTTTTCCATGCGAGCTATTACATTGATCGCCATGCGCGGCTCCTGCATCTGGGCGTAGCCATTCATCAAGGTGGTCCATGTAACTTGATTAGGCTCGACGCCTCGCTCCTTCATCATCACCAGAATCTTCTCAGCCGCGCGGCTCTGGCGGTGCTTTTGAAAGATGTGGACGAGGATGGACCAGGTGGAGACGTCTGGCTTGGGTGGATGCAGAGGTGGAGGCTCGTAGATATCTGGGTCTCCTGTGTCTGGTGGACCAGGAGGTTTCGCAGACATGTCTTCGATGATCTGGAGACAGTCTTGTATCCTAGATGCGTGCTGTCCGAGTGCTAGAAGAGTGAGATTGTAGATATGACGAAAACCGTAGTCTTCTTTTCGATCTGACATCTGAGTCACGATTGGATCGTTGTTCTCCACCAGCTGTTTCCAGTGCTTGTAGAAGATCTTTGGCGTCTCTGAGTCATTAAAGCTTCTCAGGAGGGCACCAAGCATGATGACGAGAACGGGCATTTGCGGATCGACTAATTCTTTTTGGTTGGGGATTGAGTCCGAATTGGTGATGCTTTTGTAAAGTCCCTCCAACCCAGGAACCAGATGGGCTAAGGGTTCGAAACGGAAGTATCCGCAATATACTGGGAGCATCTGCTCAAAATACGTTGTTTCAAGGACTGGCGGACTTTCCCACCTTCGGGCTGCCTCTTTTGTATCTAGGCGATGCTGACGAATGCTGAAAATGAACATTGAGTGAAGGGCATCTGCAATAATGTGCGGGGCCCACAAAGATCTCTCCTTGACAGCTTCGGTGATATGGGTAATGTCAGCTTTGTCCACCCGACTCTTCGCGTCGTTCATTAGAATTGAGTATGTGTAAGCATCTGGCTGGATACCATGTTGCTTCATCATCTCATAAATTTGCCACCCCCTTTCGGACAATCCAGCTTTCAAAGTTTTATATATCAAGACGTTATATAAGATAGTATCCGGCTTTAGTCCACATTTGAGCATGTATTCGAATACTTCATTGTAGTGAAATTGTGTGTTGTCACCAGCAGCCATGAGCAAAGTCGTGCAAAGACTCGCCATTTGTTTGCTGTTGAAATCAACGCCTTGTAAATCGCCAATGATCTCCATGATCTCATATGCAACGTTTGTATAACGGCCACCTGATTTGGCTAAATGATCCGCAAACTGCATCAGGCTGTTGTGATGAAGGGGATTATTGATATTGTTCAAAGTCCTGTAGAGATTTTCAACCAGTTCTGGGGTCCGTAAGTGTTTCATCAACAGAAATATCGAAGTCTGAGATAGATATACGTGATCCGAAGGACCCTTTGAAAGTAGACGGCTGACTATCTGGAAGATCTCCAGGGCTGGAGTGTCATCCGTAAGGTGTGCGTACCGGAGGTAGTACCAAATTATATAGTCCAGGCATCCAGACAAGGCTCTGCCATCAGGATATGGTTCAATGTAGGTAGCACTCAAAACCTTCATTGCCTTTTCTGGACAATCCTTCAAAGCTGTCAACATAAGCTCTGGCCAAAGACGCACTCGCTGGATTTCGGGAATGTCTTCCCAGGCTTTACGTAACGAATACGAAGTCTCTTCGTTGATGTACTCCTGTATGAGTTCGATTGGAAATGTCCACGAGCGGTACACGGCTAGTTTTGGCTGCCTGTAGGAGAATCCAGGATTATTGTTTCGGATGATTAGGTAAAATCTCCTATGCCACTCTCCGGAGTGACAAGGGAAGCTGCGAAGCATTGAATCAATTGGGGGCCTCTGCTGGTACCAGAGAAAATTCCCGTACAATTTTGGGACTGGGAAGCGGTATCTTGAGAGGAATTTCCACTCGAATTTAGACCCTCCATTCGCCGGTTTCTTTGTCTTTGTCGCACCAAATCCAAATAATACCGCCCCCCTTGGTCGCTTTCGTAGTTGGGGTTTCAAAGGCAATGCGCCATCCTTTGGTTTTTGAAGTTGAGCCCTCCGCAGTTGTCTCGATGTCTGATATTTTGGATGCCGCGCCGACATAACTCTAATGTACTTCTGATTGAACGTTTCTGTCTGGACTGATGATCTAAGGCAACCCTCAGCTTCTTCAGATAGAGTCGGTTCGGCGCCATCTCCTGTTGTATGAGAGTGATCCGTCTTGATCTCGTGCGCCTCGTTTGAAGGCTGTTCGGCCTCAAGGTTGTCTTGCAAACTTTCCGCCTTCTCTGGCCTGGGAATGTCTTGCATTGTGCCCCATAGTCGCGACTTTGATTCTCCTGCATGCTGCCCTGTATCGCCAGTAACTTCCTTCACTTTATTGCCGACAGAATAGTTCTGGGGCGTTTTCGAACTGAAATTCCGGTTGCCCCTGGAAGGCCATGGCTGAAAAACTCTTGGAGCTAGGAAAGGAAGAATCGGTAGGTCGAATGTTGACAAACGTCTTGCAAGTAAATCCGGACGTAGAGGCATCGATATAAGGCATCAGGATGTCGTAGGAAATGTTGCCCTGCCCATAGTATTGGTGATGTGAAAAGGTGTAAATTTCTGGCCAGCATACTATAAAAATTTGAGGCTAGTGCACAAGGCTGAGAGCCGAAGTCTCGCGGCAAGGTTTACATGCAACATTCAAGAAAAATTCAACTCTCTTGACATCTCTAAAAACATGTCTACTACACATGCATCTCTAGGCGCCGCAGCAGATGAGCGGAAGGCGCGTCTCGCAAAACTCAAGTCCCTAAAGCGCAAACAGCCCAGCGATGAAATCGTGGCCCCGGAATCGACGCGCTCCCCCTCTCCCCCTGCCGAACCGGACGTGACAAAACTACACCTCTCGGGACGCAATTATGATCCAGAAGCTAAGGGACCGAAGCTGGGGTTTGAGGCGCCGCCGATGTTAGCCTTCGATAAGACATTGGAGCAGCAAGCAAGGGAGGTCGAAGAGGAAATCAGGAGGAAGGCCGAGGAGGAAGAGCAAGATGACAAGGGCGTCGATCTGTTCAAGTTGCAGCCAAAGAAACCTAATTGGGACTTGAAGAGGGATCTAGACAAGAAGCTGGAGATCCTCAACGTCCGGACGGAGAACGCAATTGCGAAGATGGTACGGGAGAGGATCGAAGGAGCGCAACAGGCAGCGACAGCCAAGTCAGGGAAGGGGGCAGTTTCTGCAAGTGAAGGCGGAGATGAGGTGGGCATGGAAGGTGTTGCTTTGGTTGAAAGCGTTAAGTTGAGGGAACGAGAGGAGGTAGAAGACGAGCGGCGGGAGAAGGAAGATGAAGAAATGCAATGATGCAGGATTTCACAGGAAGTCAGCAATGCCATAGAAGGAAAAGCATAAGGTATGGCGTATGGAGTTGGGTTCGTTGTGCAGAGAAGCGAATATTTTGGGGTATTTATCTACTCTAAAAGCAATCATCGCCAATTCAAAAAGTGACCCTTCCAAATCCTCTTTGAGGAAAGTCATCCGTGACTATAGCTAGTCTCCACCTGGTAATCTATCTCCCCATGTTCATCGATTGCGTTAACGCCAACCTTTTACTAAAAGGACTCAAACTTTTCTCTCTTGGTGGGCGTTTATTCTCATCATTGAAGTTATTTTGGTTGAGACCACCGTTCCTGCTGTCTCGACCAGGCTCGCGATCATCTGAAAATCTTCTCCTCCTTTGTGGACTTCTAATTTCAGCCTTTCTACCTCTTGCAGGAGGACTATCGTGTCGATATCTCCGTCTGGTGCTGCGACTACTTCCTCGTTCTCTAGAATGTGGCACATGATCCCCCGTATTGGACATAGGTGAGTCCACAGACGAATAAGAATCCCTTCTTCGCTTCTTCTCATGCGTCGCCTTTGGACGAGATGGCGGCGACCGTGAAATACTGGAATATCTACGGTTCTGACGACCTAATCCTGTTCGAGACGGTGACCGTGACAGGCTTGTTGGTCTTGCTTGTTGAGGTGATGGCGATTTTGATACAGTTGTAGATATGGTTGAGACGGAAGACGCAGAAGCCGATCGCATTCTTTTGGGCTTCCCGGCGCTCTCAGGTTCCTTACTTTCCCTCTCCCTCTTCCGGCCCCTTTCCCGCTCTGCCTCTGCCTTGGCAAGTTGTTTGTCGGCGACACCTTTCCTGAAAGCACAAGCATGTTAGCTTTGGTGGTACTCATTATCTTTGGGTGTTGGTTGAAAAATAGTGTGACAGAGTATGGCACAATATCCTTCAGCGCCCGTGGCTTGAGCCCAAAAAGCCCTGGACAGAGCAGGCTATTTGAACTTGAGCAAGTACTCCTTGAGTGCTCGATGACTATCGAACAAAGTCTTGCTAGCAGTTTCCACCCGACTGGAAGTCACAGCCGCAAGGGATAAACAGAACGTGCAGGAGGTGGATTCTGGTGCACGAGAAAGAGCTTGAGAAAGACATGAGAAAATGAGGACGAACTTTCTCAACAGATCATTCGGGACATCGCTTGTCAACTTCGGCACCAGCTTAGGGTTCAGGAGCTGCTGAGTCCGAGATGGGCGGGGAACGTAGGGTCTCTCTTGGGCGATAGCCTTGCATTCGTAGGAGTAGTGGCGTAATGGCAAGTCAGCGTTTGGTATATAAACCAGGGAAATATAAACCTATCTTTCTTCAGGCATTTCTGGCACAAGGTAGCAGCTGTAGCTCTGGAGGCGCCGCCGCTCATGGGAGGTCTGGGATATCGATTCATTGTCGCATGCAGGTGGTATACGCTGGCGCAGGATCTCTAAGATTTGTTGTATATAGATAGAATGGAAGTGATTTGGCACTGGCCCAGTATGGAGGGGGGAGAATGAGATGCAATTCGTCGGTAGAGCAGTGATTTTGTAAAGAGTGCCTATAGTTAAGATGTACCTATGTTGTTGTGGTTGGTTCTGCCTTCAAAAAAGGGCAAGGGCAAGCACATAGGGAGAGACCTCTGCGGGACAGATACAGACTTGTAGTGATACTGGTACTGTACAGTGGCTCGGGTGGGTGAGGTGAAGTTAAAAAAACTGCAGGGATGTGTCTCTAGCGCCAGGCTTACTCGTACCTTCGGGGGTCTAACTAGCAGGGCAAGACGCCCGGCTACTGTACTGGTTTGTACTTTGAATTTAATTCTGACCTGAGCGAGCGAGCAGAACAAGAGGGGAGCTGAACACCATGCTCTGAATCTGAATACCTACAGCTATTCCACCACCTCAAAAACTCCACTCGCACCCATCACCTCGTCCGCACGAGGGTGAACACACCACACCGCCATCACGAACGGTTTCTCGTGTTGTACGACTGCGGCGGCCGATTAAACAACTACCCACTTCCACTTCAACAGGCGTCCAAGTTCTTCCACCCCCGTCCTACAGTACAGTACGGTAGTAGGTACAGTACACCCTCTCGTGGGATCAATCAAACGCATCGTCAAAACACTTTCAATTTCCCCGCCATACAACAATACCAACTCCACCTCCAGCTTGTCTGCGACGACAATGACCAGATGTCACGTCTCTGCATCGGGCGCCCTTAACATTCTCCCTTAATTTTCCATTTCAAACTCAACATTTGGTTTCTACAGGCTGCTCTCTGGTCGCCTGGCTGCGAATCTTACCTCTTGTCCTGTCTGAACCACTACACTCATTTCTGGCGACTGGACTTTGTTTCCACCTAATATATTCTCCAATATGGCTACCGCACCAATGTCGGCAGATACTTCCAGACTCTCCTTTGCAAAGGTACGCCCAATTCTACTTCATGTGGTCAGCCGCAACTCCTTTCAATTTACACTGCTAACTCCATGTAAAGGTAGCTGCATCTGCAGGAAAAGATAGTGTATCCTTTAGTTCGTTTACCAATACTTCGAAATCTGGGCCTGCGCGAGCTTCGGCGCAAGAGAATGCTTTGTCACAAGACCAACTAGAGAAGCGGTCGATGGAAGGCTCTAATGAGCATACTCCGCTGTCAGACACCACGAATTCTGCTTCAGGAGATACATCTACGCCGGGAGAGGATAGTTCGACAAGGGGAACATCTTCACCAGCCGTGGAGACCAATCTTGTCGAAGCTGTCAAAGCGCTGAGCGTCAATTCTCCAATGCCTAGTCTTGTTGTAAACGGGTCACGAGGCGCGGTTCCCAGGAAAAGTGATGGAGTTGATGGGTTTTCCGACGACCCATTTCAACGCACAGATTCTGGATCTGAACTCGGGACGAAGCCACCCAGTCTAGACGGGAAGAGCATCACATCGGGGACAACCTTTGCTTTAGACGAAAAAGAATCTTTACGGCCTGATGATAGTGCCAGTGTAAAGGCTTCTGAAGATGATGATACCTTTTCGGGGCGAGGATCTATTGTTGCGGGATCAAGGATCGGATCTGAAGCAGCGGCCAGGGCCTATCGTGCAGAGTTCTATGAAGCTCCCGTCCGTCGTAGCATGCAGCCAATGCCGGAGCGACCGAATCAAGGAATGATTACTCCTCAAAGCGGTTCCTCTGGGCAGGAGACCACAGACGATGGAAAGCCTAAGCCTCTGATGGGTCTCTCTGGGCCCTCTGATGCTTCTGATGCCTTCAGTAGGTTCTACCGCCAGACGCCCGATGAAAAATTGTTGGAGGCCCTGGAATCCCCTAAAGATCGCATTTTCCTCCTTCGGTAAGTAATATTCTTAATCGATCCTCCTGCAAGTCCGAAGTTCAATTTGGGCCAGCAATACTTCTTGTTTTAAAAGTCGGCCATGCCAAACTTCACGGCCCAGGGACTTCCTAGCAGGAAGCAGAATCGTCTAAAGATCAACCATCACTAACTTTTGAAATATCAAAGGCTTGAGAAAGATGTCATAGAGTTTGTAAAAGACTCCAAGTGAGTAGCCACCAATAACCGCTACGCCTTTAGGCTCTACTATCTCGTGTAAATTTGACTAATAACGTATACAGAGACCCTTTCATCGATCTACCACCGTGTAACTCATTTTGCCGAATGTTAACCCATAAACTCGCGGATTACTATCACATGACCCATCAGGTTGACGCTGTCGCTGGCGCTGTTCGCATATTTCGAACACCTTTTTGCCGATTACCTCCCTCGTTGACTAGTATATCAAATCCTCCAACTTCGGGGAATACCCCGCCGCCCACGATGCCAGCTATGAAGATTATGCGAAGGGGTGGCGATGGTGATGCTGGCCAAAGCCCGTCCAAGGCGACTTCGGAAACAGGCAGTGACGGTAAAGAAAAGGCGCTTTCAGCCAAGGAAAAGTACGTAAAATACTCTGTGTGTTTCATGACATTGTAGACTAACGTGCTGTGAAATAGGCTGTCCAGAGAAGAGCGAGAGGCTGCCTATAATAGGGCTAGAGAGCGTATATTTGGCAAGGATGACAAAGGAGATGCTACACCTGGTACGTATTCGCCCGCTCTTGTCTTTGCTTCTGCTGATTAACTTGAAGATACAGAAGATGCCAATGACATGTCTCGTTCGAGTTCTGTATCGACCAAAGATAGAAGCCAAAGCAAAAAGCCGAAGCCTTTAAAACAACGGAGAGATGACTCTGAGAGTTTCGACGTTCGATCTCAGTACACACCGTTCTTTCCTCAACCTCAAATGCCAACATGGACCCCAACACCGCAGTACTCGCCGGTTGGCCCTCAATCATTCAATGGTTCGGTTCAGGGTAGTTATCAACAGTCGATGCCTCCCCAATTTGGGCCGCCAACCCCGCAATTTAACCCAGGGCAGATGAATAATGGTAACATGCAGGTATATAGCAATGGACCTCAGGTAGGAAATTTTTCTCTTCCCGCCTCGAGGATTTAGAAGCTGATAATGTATAGCAATATCCTCAACCAGCTCAACCACGGTATCAGCCAAATAGTGCTCCAATCACTACATATGGATCCCCTATTCAGCCCCAGCCCGCTGCTCCACAACAACAGTGGCAGCAACAGCAGCCAATGTATCAGAATCAGACTCAATATCAAACTCGAGGCCCCATGGGCACTGGGCCACAAAACTCCATCCCGTATGCTTTCGGCCAGTTGCCAAGCACCGCCAATCTTGCTGATCCCAAGAGTCAACACCCAATTCCTGGAAGTTTCAATCGACACGCATTCAACCCAAAGACTCAGTCATTTGTACCGGGAAACGGCAATATGCCAGTACCTCAGTCTATGTCACATCACGGGTCCCCTCACCTCCCTTACAATGCCTACGCTCCTCCTCCTCAACAACAATTTGGAACCGGCATGGGGTATAACATGGCAAGACAGGGTTCAAATAACTCTTTGCCTTCGTATCATGCATCGCCTCATATGGCTCAAAGACCTGTGATGATGCATCAGGGTATGCAACAAGGCATGCCCCCAAATCTTCCTCAGGGCATGTCTCAAGGAATGATTCAGGGTATGTCGCAAGGTATGCCACAAGGTTTACCACAGGGATTACCACAGGGATTACCTCAAGGTATGCATGGTATGACACAGAATGGGCAGGTTGGAAATACTCATCTCCCACATTATGGCAATCCATCGACGCTCCCTCCCAAGCCACCCACTGGGGTTTAATGGCACGCGCTTATGTGATTGAAAGAAAAGTGGCGTATGGTAGCATTGGTGGAGTTAGGGAATTGCCTTCATCAAAAATGGATTTTTTGACTGGACTATAACAATTGTGCTAATAGACCATAAATACAACAACTTATAAAACACTATCTTGATGCAAATGAACACAATGCATTTAATGGAAAATGGTATTTCTATGTGAATGAAAGGCTCTATAGCCCACCGTAAACGCCGTACTTTTCCATCCTACAATGCAAAGTAATGCATGGCTGAGTTCTATGGAAACGATCAATCATCATAATTACTCGGTAGGTTCTCTAGGTTCCCTTTGCTGTCCTCCACCTCTGCCACCTCTGCCGCCACGCTTTCCGCCTCTTTGGCCACCTCGCTCTCCCTTCTCGCCACCTTCTCCACCACCTGTAGCTGCAAGAGCGTCTGAACCACCCATGGTCAGAGTAGCGGTTGCCAATCTTTGAGACAAATCGATCTGCGTCCGGATAGTGTTTGCAAGATACGAAACAACAAGCACATCTTGGATATGGTTGTTGAAATCGCGCTCGATATCCTGGGGGTCGACTTTCGGTGCCAGCGACAATGCATTCATCAAGAACTGTCCCAACGCATTCGAAGGCTCTCTCTCCTCATCTATCACGGAGCTAACGTACTCAGCAACCCGATCCAACAGATCTAGTGTCTGGTCAACAGCCCGCTCCAGCCCTTCGATATCTGAAACGACTGGTGCAGCACGGTTCTCGCTGTCCTTCGCTCCAGAAATTAACTCGAGTCCACTCTTCTCAGCCTCCCCATATCGGATCTCATACGGGACCGGGATAAAGAGACAGCTCTCCGCAGCCCGTTCAGCATTAACTCCCACGGGTGCACTGATATATGCCTTGGCTTCAATCTCCTTCCCTGGCTCCGTCGAAACTGTAACATGGACCGCGGGATGCGGGAACGTGCCCGTCTCTGGGCTAGCAAAGAAGTTCTGGATCAGCGCGCTGAAGTTGTTGAGCTCGAGACTCGTCGTGTACCAGCCCAGCAGGACTTCGCGCGGGTTGGCTTTGAGTTGTAGGGCGAGCATATTCTTTTGGTATTCGACGTCGACCTCGACTTGGTCTTCGTTCTCGGTGTGCGGGATGGCGAAGCAGTTGCGTACTTCGACTTCCATGCCATCTTCTGAGCGTACGCCTAAGAGGGCCCCGATCACACGTGTAGATTGCGTGTCCCGGATGTCGCGGCGGATCGCATGGTCGAGGATGGAGAAGACTGCCTGATATTTCGTAAGCGGGATTCAAGGAGATTTATGTCTTGGGGGGCATACTTGGGGTTGAATTATGACATTTACTGGTGCGGTTGTGGGCTGGACACCGATTACTGCGGGCGCAAGAGGGCGCGCGAGATGTAGGAATGAGGGGATTTCGACCGCCATGCTGGGCAATAGAATGAGGAGATCTAAGGGGTCAGGAGGTCGTGGGTGAGGTTGTAGACGTCGTTAATCTAGTTCGAAAATTCCCCTCCTCCGTTGTCGATTTACCCGCGTGGTGGGATTTGTGGGCGATCTTCGGACGGCACGTGCTTTGCACTCAAAATATTCATTTGCTCTGTAGACCTTAATTTTTGCTTTATTCTATGTTTCAGGGATTTAAACCCGCAGATGCCTCCTAAACAGATTTTTCTTTACGCCGATTTAAGAGACCATCCAATATCATTTTCGTCCTCATTCGCCCCCTCCATTCTTTCAGTCTTTTTATATCCCTGGCTCGCGCTAAGATAAGAATTCTTATCGCCAGAAATTCTTATTTTTTTTGAGACATCGACATCCTGCCTTCAACAGTAACATACATACATATTGATTCGCCCAGATATACGTAAAAATGGCATTTCACGGTACCAGAGGTGGATCTCGTGGCAGAGGCTCTGGATCAGGAGCGCCCAGAGGCCGAGGGGGGGCACGTGGAGGTTCACGTGGAGGTGCTCGAGGGGGACCTCGTGGTGGTGCTCGTGGACGCGGTGGATTTAGAGGCGGAAAAAGACCTATTTTTGACAGTGCAAGAGTTGCTCAGCAAAAAGAACGGTATGGGAACTTCCAATTAAACCGAAATATTCCAGCTAACCATTTTAGGGACGATCAAAAGTCGGACTCTGAAAGTCCATCTGAGGTGGAGGAAGATATTGAAAGTGAAGATGATTCCAGCGATGAGGACGACACGGAGCCTGCGCCCACTGTACGCTCTTATTCAGTTCTCATGCAAAGTCTTACGGCGGATTCTGCACCCCAGGCCAAGAGAAGAAAATTAGAGCATCCTACTGATGTCAAAGAATTATCTGGAAGCGATTCTGAGGATCTTGAAGACCAAGCAGAGGACGCTGATGTTGTCGTGGAAGCGGAGGAAGGGCCGGAAACTGCCACCGACGGGCTCCTGGAAGAAGAGAACGACGATGAAGATGCTTCAGATCCCTTTGAATCACACTTTGCGGACCCAGAGGATAATGCCTTGTCAAAAAGATTGAAGGCATTACAGTTGAACCAGTTGACCACTCAGAAGACCCTGCTGCCCAACTTTGGAAAGGCTGTGATCAGTCTGCCTCAGACGGATGATGCTGAACCCGGTATAATCCCTACAGTATCTGGGCCTGGTGATTTGAAATTGAAGCAAAAGCTGGCGGGTGTCATCTCAAAGCAAAGGCCAACTTTCCACCCTTTGGAGAAATCTATTGCTACGTATATGTTCAATTACCAAGATGTCTTGTATTGCGAGCGGAGCCCCGTTAACTCGGAAAGCCTACGGCGATTGGCATGCTTACATGCTGTCAATCATGTTTTCAAGTAAGTCTCGAGCCTTCAAATTCGTTTGAATCCAACTAATGGTTTTAGAACTCGAGATCGTGTAATTAAGAACAACGCCCGTCTTGCTAAAGAAGAAAAGGAAGATCTCGAATTGAGAGACCAAGGCTTCACTCGCCCTAAAGTCCTCATGATCCTCCCAACGCGGGAATCGTGCGTTCGAATGGTCAATTCAATCACATCTTTATGTGAACCGGACCAACAAGAGAACCGGAAACGTTTCGATGATTCATACGTTGAGAAGGGGGAGAAGTTCTCGGAAGACAAGCCTGCCGATTTCCGAGAACTCTTCGGAGGCAATGATGATGATATGTTCAGACTTGGACTCAAATTTACTCGAAAGACCATCAAGTACTTCTCTCAATTCTATAACTCGGATATTATATTTGCCAGCCCTCTAGGCTTGCGGATGGCCCTCGAGGGAAAAGAGGAGAACAAGGGTGATTACGACTTCTTGAGTTCAATTGAGATAGTCATAGTCGACCAAGCCGATGCTCTACTGATGCAAAATTGGGAGCATGTCGAATACATCTTCGAGCGCCTCAATCTTCAACCAAAGGAGGCGCATGGCTGCGATTTCAGCCGAGTCCGAAGCTGGTATTTAGACGACAACGCCAAATACTTCCGCCAGACCATTGCACTGGCAGGTTTCAACACCCCTGAACTCAACACTTTGTTCTTCAATCAGTCGAAGAATTGGGCAGGGAAGGTCAAGATCAATGATAATTACCAGGGTGCTATCCAAGAGCTAGGATTGAAGGTCAAACAGACCTTCTCGCGACTCGACTCGCCTTCTTTCTCCACGGATCCAGATGCTAGATTTACTTACTTCACATCAGCCATCATTCCATCTTTGACTCGTCGCTCAAAAGACAGTGCTGGGACTGTCATATTCATCCCTTCATACCTGGACTTTGTTCGAGTAAGAAACTACTTCTCAACATCTCCTTCTACGAGCAACTTGTCTTTTGGCAGTATCTCGGAATACACAACTGTTCGAGACGTAGCAAGAGCTCGATCGCATTTCTTCAGCGGGAGACATAATGTACTTCTCTATACGGAGCGCGCGCATCATTTCAGGAGATATCAGTTGAGGGGCGTGAGAAAAGTGATTATGTACGGATTACCTGACAATCCAATCTTCTACAAAGAGATAGTGGGCGGTTACTTAGGAAGAAGTGTACAAGAGGGGAAACTAGCACCTGGAGATGGGACAGCCAGAGCCATATTTTCGAAATGGGACGTGCTAAAGCTTGAGAGGATAGTTGGGACTGAGAGGGTTGGGAAAATGATTATGGAGAAGGGAGATACCTTCGATTTCCTGTAGTACTTTCGGTCGCTATACTGCAAACATAGTTTTTGATACCCCAGAAAAACGCCCTCACACGCAATATTGTTCCTAAATACATTTACATATACAATTCCCTGGCTACTGCTTTCATATATTCCCACCCCACCTCTTCTCCTCACTCGCAGAATTATCTCTCTCCTTAGCAACCCCAAATTCCGCAAAGCTCTCCACCAGCTCGTCAAGCGCGTCCATCCCACCCCTCCTATACCTCGTCACTTTCTCAATATTCTTCGCTGTCATCTTGCGCGGCTGTTCCCTACCATCCGCCCGTTCCTTCGCAAGTGTCCGCGCCGTCATCTGGAACCGCATATCGTATTTCGAATCAACGAGTTCGAGAATCGCAGAGGGCGCCATGTCAGGCTTCAATGGCTCGATACGGAGGACCCGCGTGTAGCCTCCTGGGCGTAATTCGTAGCGTTTGCGAATTTCGCCGAAGAGTTTGGGGACTAGTTCGTGGGGCGTCTGTTCTGATATCAGTTTTCTCTTCTTGCTTGAACCTCTAGCAAATAACAGAAGTGATAGGCTTTGAAATACGCAAAACGTACATAGAAAATCTCGAAAGCTTTCCTCTTGCTAGCCTCCGTATTCTTCTTGCCTAACGTGACCAGCTTCTCCGCCAACCGCTGTGCTTCCTTTGCTTTATGCCATGTTGTTGCTATGGATTCGTGGGTGAAGAGAGAGGTCACAAGGTTTCGGAGCATTGCTTGTCTATGGGCAGATGAGCGGTTGAAATGCCGGTATTTCATGCGGCCTCCTGCCATCGTGGAGGATTTTTAGGAAATAGACCCAGTCAGAGGGAGGGTTGAGTAGCCTTAGTAGATATCGAGGTAGAATTAGGCCCCGAATAAGACTTGAACGAATGGGACGGAGTGTCGTTGTTGGATTTTGTCGTTGAGCTTGAGCCGCAAGAGATCGGGAGAGGTCGAAGTCCCGCGATTTTTCTTGGGCTCAAAATTTGGCGAGCCGCAAAGCTCGGAATCAACGACCTACACATCCTCCAACCCTGGTCAACAACCCCCCTAAAAGCTCTTTGGAGCTCTTTTCATATCAATTGGGGTGTTTTAATCACTGTGGTGCCATCGTAAACCTCTACAAAGCATAGCAGCGCTCCTGGCGCATTCCAGCAAGCTATTATCGGCAACATGGGCTTCACAACCGGCTTCGTAAGTCACGCAAAAATAAGGATGAAGCTTCATCATAGCTAACTTGTTATACAGACTGGCGGAGTGACTCTCACTCTCGGCCTCGCATACCTCACAGTCGCCGCCCACGAGCGCAACCGCAAATCCCAAGCCTTAGCCCTACGCTCCCAATCCCAAGTCCTCACCAGCCTGCTGGACCCAACCCCCCTTCCACCCCCTCAAACCCGCGCCGAGCTCGCCCGAGAAGAACGTAGCACCCTGGTAGAAGCCGCTAAAGACCGGTGGAATAACGAGATCGAAAATGCTGTGCGGTGGGTGCAAAGGACGGATTGGACTGGAGTGAGGGAGGGGATGGAGGGAAGTTTGTCGCGGTTACTCGGGGGCGGACTACAAAAGTCGAGGGAGGGCATTGAGGAGGTGGAGAAGGCAGCTGGTCCTCAGGTCCAGGAGGCCGTTGATAGAAGTAAGGCTGCGGCGAAGAAGGCGGCGGGTCAAGCTGCCGTTGGTATCGACAGCGCTGCTGCGGCTACGATTTCTGGTGCTGAGAGAGTCGGCGCCGAGGTGAAAGAGGGTGCGAGTAAGCTTGCTGCTTCTACGAAGACGAAGACGGAGCAGGTAGTTGGATCGAGTAAAGAGCAGCTCAGAAGCACCGAGGAGAAGTCTGGGGAGATACTGGATGCAGCAAAGGCCAAGTCTGGGAGAGTTGCAACCAATGCGAAGTCCGCAGCTCAAGATGCAGCTGAGTCTGTTCGGAGTGGAGGAACTGTCGATGCAGTGCGCGGTGCGGTAAGGGAGACTTTTTCTAAGGGGGTGGAAAAGGGCAAAGAAGCTATTGGTAAAGCGTCAGCAGCCATCGGTCTAGCAGAGGAGAGGCTCGAGTCAAAGACCCAGTATGCTACTCTGAGCCACTCGTCAGCTGTGGAGAAGGCTCTTCATGAGAGATACGAGAAGCCAGCTCCTCTTAAAAAGACGCCGGAGGAGGTTTTGGAGGAACGGTACAAGCCTATTGAGAAGAGGGACAACACCGTTTTACGGGGGTTGTAAGTATGTACAGAAGATCACCTATATTGTACTAGTACCATGGACTATGTTCAAAACTCCCAAGCGCTTCATACTGTTTGATTGCTTCGCTTCTTGCTATATCTGAGCTTTACAGCATGGCTTTCTTTATCAGTGAAATTCGTCTCCCACCTGTAATATCGTTGACACTATATGACTATTGAGCTTTAGTGCCGTGCCAGTCAAGTGGGTGGTTTTACTGCGTTCAGGGGAAGTTCCTATTGAACCGTGAGCTACCTGAATACCGTACACAGATTGAAAGACTTGTTTGGAAATGTCCTCTTCATCAATGATACATACTTGAATTCCGTGGTCGTTTATGTCTTAGGTGCCGAGTGCCTAAGTTCGCATTACATTATTGCTCTGCTATACCGCCATTAACCTCACCGCCGCCTCCCCGGCACAGCACAGCCCCGGCCCATCTCCTACCATTCACCATATCTACCTCATGGTGTCCATATACCTAATTAGCATTTCTACCTCACAAATCAAGCATACAGGCGGCCACTTGGCTAAGTGGTTTGGATCAAATATGCTTGGTGTGTGGATCGACTGGGTTCAACATTCCGCCAACTGGTAGGGACCCACTACCTCGAATAAAAATCCAACCCTTCTTCAACTGGGTTTGGGTTCTTCATAACGAGATTAATCCCCTGGGGGGGTTTATCTCTAGAAGTTTTACTATTCTTTTCTGCTATTTTTGGTGGAGAAGAGTGGTGTGTTGTTTCTATTGTTTTTGTATTTATTTTGCCCCCTTTTGGATAAGCGAGCGATAGAGTTGCACGAAGGAGTTGGCTTAATTGAGGTCCATTCGGTTGCTAAATACCACAAAGAAAATCTTCTGCGCCGTTATACTTGCAGAGGAGGGATAGAAGAGTCACAAGGCACCCTCGAAATGCATCTGGTATCTATGTACAACGTGGTCATACAGTCTCTATCTCGCAAACACTTGATCGAGTATCTTAAACGCACCAGACCTACACACTTCCTTCTCTTAGAAAGATGTGCATCTGTAGGTAGTCACCACACTAGAATATATTACCAACTCTTCCTGCTTATTGAGGAGGACTTCTCCTTCGAATTGGCTTTCCAGACGGAGCCACCAAACATTCGGTGTTGCGCCATAAAACCACAGATGGAAGGATGTTAAAATATGATTCAAGAATTAATATCATTGTGGATGGGTCTATAAGCAAAATAATGTGAAATCATGATAAAAGAACATTGCAGGCTCATCTTAGTTGCTCAAGATCTCTCACACACGGCCAAACGATATACGAAATATGAGACCGAAACCTTGCACATCTCTCTAGCCTTTCTCGAAGACATCTACTTCTTCTACCGTCTAAAAAACCTCGCCCCCTTACTAGAAACTATCACTATACAATCTAAATAGATATGGTACTCCCAGGCTTCTTATGTTCTGGCCTGATTGTATTCGTCCTCAAAAGTGATGGGGGCAATGAGCTTTGAAACCGTTCGATCCAAAGCCATGCTAGCGACATTGTCAATGCAAAAGCCTCTATAGCATTGGCATGCGGTTTGATATATACACCCAATCAATAGATATACTCTTGTCTGTTTACTGTGACTTTGAGCACAATAAGCTTGAAGATTTCGTCAAACGATATCAAAACAGGGGTTAAGCTTGGGGGGCTTTTGCTGTTGACAATTGCAAGCGTCGCAATGAGAATCGAGTGTGATGGACCTCAGCCCGAGACTTTACTTTCCGCTCCCTAGCAATTCATTCCTCTTGCAACTTGGAATCATCTTTTTACAAAATAGCAGTTTTTCTGTAGTTGTTGCATTAGACAGAGGCGTAAGAAGATACTTCGGGGAAGTTCGGAAGAAGCGAAACACAGGCTATCAATGTCTTAGGAATGATGGATAGAGGTTCTTTGGATGGCAGAGATCTTTCACGCCCGAAATATTATTCACATAGTAGCAAAAGGTTGCGATGATACAAAGATAGAAGAACAGAAGTTCTCATTAGCTTTGCTACGTGCACGTGACTTTGAATTGCCCAATCACAGCAACGCAGATACCGGTTGCTTAAGCATTGAAATGTATTGACGACGACCATTTTAAAACTTTGAAAGCTCACGATCAACGTCGCACCCCACTCTCCCTCCTCCTTTTCTTTGCAGTTTCTCTTGTTGTCTCAAGATTGACAAGATGCTATCTTCCACAAGAAGATCAGCCGCGCTGGCGCTGCGAGGTAAGTCCAGCTCTTCATACATACATGAAGCTGCCCCCCTCTCTTGCCACCAATTGCTAATCCTCATCTCCGCACAGCCAGGCCAGCTTCATCCATGATTTCCTACCGATCAATTGCTGCCATCTCATCCTCTGCTTCGAAGCCTGCGGTCGCAGTTTCACCACACAATGTGCACGGCAATCCGGGTACGCCACCGCCGATGAGCGTTACGGGCAAGGAGAGGCGCGAGGTGCCATTGCCAAGTCAGGAAGGGAAGAAGGGTGTTATGCAATACGCATTGTACGTGTTTCCTTCCCATACTACAGATTTGATTTTATTCAGAGCTTTTTGAAGCTTCAATGTGGGGAAGCGGCGATCCTTTTAAAATACTATCTAACACTCTTCTCAGAACAACCCTCGATCAAATCGCCAATTGGGCCCGTCAAGGCTCCCTCTGGCCCATGACCTTCGGCCTCGCCTGCTGCGCCGTCGAAATGATGCATCTCTCCACGCCCCGCTACGATCAAGATCGCCTCGGTATAATCTTCCGCGCTTCGCCACGTCAATCTGATGTTATGATCGTAGCCGGCACATTGACAAACAAGATGGCACCGGCCCTGAGACAGGTGTATGATCAGATGCCCGAGCCGAGATGGGTTGTGAGCATGGGTAGTTGTGCGAACGGCGGTGGCTACTATCATTATAGCTATAGTGTAACGAGAGGGTGCGATCGTATTGTGCCCGTGGATGTGTATGTGCCGGGTTGCCCGCCTACTTCGGAGGCGCTGATGTATGGCATCTTCCAACTGCAGAAGAAGATGAGGCATACAAAGGTATGTATTCTTCCATCCTGCGGCTTTTTGCCACAGGCGCATTATTGTGCCGTCTGAACGGAGCGCGGATCTTCTGCTTAGGATGAAGATGAATGAAGCTAACTATTTTTACAGATTACGAGAATGTGGTACAGAAAGTAGACGGATCAATGGAAGATCCTTGGGTAGATGGGAAGAATGGGGCTCTCTTTTTGTACAAAGTTAAAGACTGCATATAGTTGGGATGCACAGGCGTTCGTTGCTGCAGAATACAATACATTTCAACCTATACTTACCTTGTCATCTTTTCATGACAAGGCCTATTGATGTTGTACTTTTTACAACTCTACCTAGATTTGGGTTTTCCTGTGTCCAAAGGCGCTAAAGCTGAGCATGGAGGCCTTTCAAATCATAAAACGAAGCAATGGAAGCGCCAATACACTCTAATTTGCGATTTATCTAGGAGAATGTCATCACATATGGTTACTTTCAAATTCTTGGTATCTTCACTCTCAGTTGTTGCGAGTTGATTACCCGTTCTGGTCTGGCTGAGTGGCTGCTGGGGTGCGCTTTCATTAAAAGCAAATGGGCAGAGAAGAAGCAAGTGCTTACTTGAAGCTATGAGTTGATCGTTGGGTAAAAAGAGTATTGCAGCAATAAATGACAGGAAAAGGGAGAAAGAAAAGGAAACTAAATAGGCCAAGTATATATTTCATCAGATTCATATCAAAGTGGAGATTGAGCAAATAGCAAGCAGACAATCAACATATTCAGCTTCAATATCTAAGAGCGATTGTGTAAATAAATTTGTGCTTATCAGGCCTCCCTCAAAGCAAGAGTTGCTGTCAAGGTACTTTGGGGGGCGGTTGAAACTCTATGTAGTATCCGCTATTTCCCTGACTCATACGTCTACTTTGAAATTTCCAGCAGATGATAACTGATCAATTTGCGAATCCAGGGGTCGGACACGGCGTTTGAATATGAAGCAGTGAGTGATTAGGTGAAGCCACGCACGTCTATGTGCCTGCCCGCAACTTACCTTCTCTAGAATAATCCACCCACGCCTTTCTGAAACTTTATATCACATATCCCAGGCCTTTTATTCGTATCTATCTACTTGGTATACGGCCACCAGGCTTCATTCAAGCAACCCCCAGAGTAATTACACATCCAGGCTCCCACAATTCGTACACAACTAACCCAGTACCCTAATCCAACCTAACACTTCTTCCAAGTCACGGCACATTCACTGTCCGCAAGTAATTGTGTACGTATAGATACTTCTCATACTTATGATTTCAATAGATGTGGAAATTATTATTTACCATATCTTTATCCCCTTACTTATCCTTCCCCAAGATGCACATACCGCAACCAGCAGCGCTTTAAATAGCCCAAGTGCTCCTTTGCCTCTCCTGCCTCGCTCAGCCTTAGCTTAGCTTCTGTCTGCTACGACCTACCTTTAGTACTTAGCCTTAACTTTCTACAGTCTTGCCAGAGCACTTATTTAGTCTAGGCTTAGCTAAAGGTGTTGAATACGCGGACTTGGGCTATTTAATGTGCTGGGAATTGGTCTTTAGTGAACCATGGTTGGAAAGGGAGGCTAGACTTAGTATCCCAACCACAACGTCAAGGTAGGGCAATGATGTATGAATCATATGCACAAAAGGAAATTTGCATTCACCGTAGTGAATATATCTCTGTGCCTCCTCCCTTCTCAGTGAAAATAAGTAAGTATCAATCTGCTGCTGTGCACCGGAGTAAGCTATCGGCGGGGACAAATACGGCATTCTTGAGTGATACTTGAAACTCATTCGTACTACAAAGAGGATTTGGGAGTAGAGAGAAGCTTTTCAGAAAAAAAGAGCAAGGAACAAACTGGCACAAGAAAAGGGATTTGCAACGAAAGTGTTCAACTCGCCGTCCTGACGCAACATGTCCGAACCACATCGGGAGCATCTCCCTCTAGGCACCACCGCGTGAGTCACTCAATCTCTTACTCCCCACTTCAACGTCCACTAACAAGGTATATTTCCAGGCCCCCAAATAAGCCTTGTATCCCTCGAGACGCAAACGAAGCAGTAGAGGTACAATGCACATCACCATGCGCGCCACCTTCCTAGCCATCCCCACAGAACTCCACACAAACATCCTAGCACACCTGGATCCCGTCTCTCAAATGTGCCTCGGGCTCACCTCCAGCTACTTCCATCGCATCTTCCACTTCATACACGGTTCCGGGGAGCAATACAACATCCGAAGGAACCCCTTTGACTTGCGCATGCAGGTTAGTGTCTGTGGTACGCATTTTTTGAATTACAAGTATGAGGACTGGTTCTTGCGGGACAGTAAGGATATTACATGGGACCGCAGTCTGGGGGAATTGTTAGCGGATGAGAAGACGTTATGGGGGGGTTTGTCGTGCTGTGAGCGGTGCTGGCGGTATAAACCTGAGGGTGCTTATGCAGAATGTGCGTTCGAGGAAGACATGTTTCGTAAACACAGAAGATATATTGGGGATCTTGAAGCAGCGGGTGTGGACTGGTATGAGAGGGGGTATCGGAAGTGTAGGGGTTGTAGGGTTAAAGTCTTGACGGTGGTTATGGAGGGAAAGAAGGAGTTTTTTGAGGAGCCCGAGTGGGTGTGTAGGAGGCAGAGCTTGGGGTTGGTGAGAGAGAACAGAGGTGAGGATCAGAGGGAGAGGGAGCTGGAGAATGCGAGGACGGATGAGGAGCTCCATGCTGCACGGTTCAACTATGAGAGCTGGGAGAGCATTTTTCAAAGGTTGTGTATTTGATGGCAAGGAGGCGCTGGCCACGAATCGCACGCAGGTCTACTAGATATGCAAATTTGTTTTCTCGGGACATAGTAAGAACTTTCTTAGATTCGGAAAGAGAGACAAAATGGAAACGCCCGACCAGATAATTGGATCGCAAGTCGTAGGCTGCACTTAGAACTTGGAAGAGATCCCGTCTACATTTACTATGTATCTTCAAAACCAGCTTTTGGCCCCACTCTGACTTTCATGATATCGATTGGTATTAAGTCATGAATAAATGGCTCCCAACAAGACTGGCCCGCCTCGGGATATACCGGCTACCACACCCGTAACTTCTTAATGACGACCGGAAGAAGATTCGTAATGTTCCCAGGAAACACGCCAGATAATTCAACGCCCTAAATGTCATGCATATCCATCAATGATAGAAATGCCTTCAACTTTCCCAAAACCACGCTAACTTCCTTGCCCACGCTAATTGACTCGTTCTGATGCGACTCGGAAAAGTAAGATTTTATCATCACGACTTTCAAACTGCATTATCGTCCTGATGCATGGAAGTAGTTCTCAACGGATGGCGACCACAACGATGAGGCTTACTGGGCTTTCCACGAAAGCATGATGGCTTGGCCCCTGTGTCGGCCGGCAATCCAAAGTTCTGCTTCATGCTGCAGTACTCGAGCTCTTTTGGCATCCATGATTTGATATGCTGGTGAAGTTCGCACCTGTAGATGCCGCACTGTTTGCACTCTCGCTTCCCTACTACTTCCCAGGCAGCTTCAAAGGAGTTTGGGCCAACTCGGCGTTGGTTGAGAGGCATCTTGGTGCCGTGAATAGCTCTGAAAATTCCGTAGGCTCTCGTTGAAGAAAGACCGAGACAACAAGCATCTATCTTTTCAAGGTAGCCGAAAATCTCGAGTTGTAGCTCTGTTGGGAGATTGGGGAGAGATGCACTGTCTTTGTATTGCGGAAGTAGAGCGAGACGGTTCAGGAGTTCTGGGGTTTGTTTGAAGACCCATCCTTCTTCTTCTGGGGAAGGACTGATTTCTGTGTCGGTACTTGCGAGGGTGTCGTCATCACAATCGCTCGAGTGAGATGAATAGCTGTCTGACTCGAATGTAACATGTGCCGTGACAACTGTAGGTCTCCGATTTGAGGCTGGTGACACAAATAGGCTGTTTGGTTCCGGCTCCATAACTGAGGCAAGTGCTGACCGAGACTGTGTGTCCAGATACGAGATGATCTCGTGCTGAAGCTCTTCCCTCAAGTTGAATCTGTAGGCTAAAATCAGTTCCGGTTGTTCCATGGGAGAGCTGTAGGGAAATGCTTACAAACCGGCCATTTTTTTGACTTTAGGTGGATATTTTTGTTGTTGTGGGGATGATCCTGTCAATAGTAGAATCGGTGTTGTTAAGAGCAGAGGGAGGTGTATATCGCCGTATATGTTTCGCAATCAGACCAATTTGACAGGAGACATGCAGGTATCGTGTTTTTTAGCGCCCGCACTTAGGACCCAACCCAACTTCCAAGTGAGGAATGCTTAAACAAGCGGTCAGCATCTTGCCGAGGTACTTCCACGAGACAAAGCTGGCTGGAACTTTCCACCAAGATCGACTTGAGCAGGTTCATCAAAATAAGTCAGGAATGTCACTCGATGTAACTTTGGGTAAGTGACATACTGCACACGTGAAGGAACATCGCGCTCAAAATGAGGCTCTAGAACGCCAACAGGGATTACCTACTATACAATTAAAGAAAATTGTTTGCTGTCTCTTGTGAATTAACAACCTTGTGGCTTATAATTGTATAGACGATCGACTTTCTTCTCACTCGATGTGAGATGCTCAGGTTGATTGAGGTTTGGTATCCAATTCTCCTGACTAGTCCTAGCTAGCCCCTGGCCACTCGAGACGGAAATTGTATATATTACGGCTCGGGGAAACGCCCCCGTGAAAAGCAATTTGATCTATAGTGACGATCCTTGTGATGATAGTTGTGAATTCGGAGGTGATTGTTGATTGATGTTCGCAACAAAGTCAATTGTAAAGCAATAAAGCAGAACCTGAAACGCATACTTCGCGGTGAAACTAATGCTGCGCATAAATTCATAGCACTAACACTGATTAGACTGATCGCTGATGTACAAAGACAACTAATCAAGGCTTTCTACTTGATGTATCGACTGGAAAACACACCCTGCACCCTCGTCCCATGCAAAATGCAACCACCAATGCTCATGATTCATCGAACGTCTGCCTCGAGCTTATATCGCGATCCAAATCACACTAATAACAACATCCAAACCTTTGCTCTCCCCTCCCTCATATTTAAAGCTCCACATGCCATCTGTCTTCTCGTTCCAGTATGCCCCCGCCGCACTATGCATTCCTCTCCTGCCGACGTGGGGTTTGCCATCGGTTCCGGTAGCCTCAGTCTTCATATCGCTCGTTGAGATCCTCGCATCGCTCTCTTCTGTCTTCACCGATGGCTCTGGGATTGCTTTCGATTTGTTCAGGGTCGAGGTTGGGACGAGGTGTTGGATGATGGTGCTGTTGACTGCATACTTGAACGATGGGGTCCCGCCGGTAGGAGATGATTCGGATATCAAGGAGCGGAGGATAGAATTCTTTGATGGGGTTGCGTGTTAGATGGACTGTTAAGTTGATGGAGAGAAGCGGGGCAAACAAACAATTATTGTGGTATTCCAGGCCTCGGTCTTGTTGTGCTCGTAGTATTCGGTGGCCCCTAGAGCATTTTGGCAAGCCTGCAAAATTCTCAGTAGAGTTCTGTAAAGCTGGGAGTGATGTGTAGGGAGCTTACATCGTTTGCTATTTGCTTCAGCCTCGTGAAGGAGATGGGCTATCCTTCATCAGCTTGATTCAGTAAACGCGGGCATGGTAGTTGACTACTTACTGGAGAGGCAGATGACGAGGCCATGATTCTATAAATTCGAAGTCGGTCAAAACCAGAAGCAGTTGAAGAGGGGTGTGTAAAAGAGAGTTTGTACGATTGGAGTTGGGCAAAATCAAAACACGCCTCACCCCTGCTTCAAGTCTGGACTTCAGATTCTGGGGAAGACCCGATCTGGGAATAGCGTGGCTGCCTCGTTCGTGCCTGAAGTCAGATGTATGAAGTAATGAAGGAGGGGGGTTGAGAAGCATAGAAACGCCACAAAACTAATTCGGGGACTGATTGCAGGTTGCAACTAGATACTTAATAAGTAAATATTACTATTGCTAGAGAATATGATAAAAACACATCAGTTGGAGGTTTTACAGAAAAACTTCCAATATATGATGTTACCTAGCCAGTCAGCTAGCGAGAAGCCAGCACGTTTTATCGCGAGGCGTCGTGGGGGCTTGACTTGGTTTTCTTGAAAAGGTGAGCTTTGCAGAGTTTAAATCTAACAAATCGTGCAACGAAATTTCCCCTCATCTTTCCTCAGACATCGCACAAGACCCAAACCTCCAATCTTCGTCACTGATTACCTATCCCCGCCCAAATCTCTCTCATCGCCTTCAATCCTTGCCAATTCAGGACATTCAGACACAGCCAATCGATCACTCGTTCAGTGCCAGCCTCGGGTCCCGCCTCTCGTTTGTTTGACAATGTCGAGCCAGCCCTTGCTTCAAGCCACGCCTGGTACGTCTCTGGAATTCATCAATTGTCCCACCCGGCAGTCGAATTGTTCAGTTCATGCTAACATAGAATTTTTCAACAAGGCAAGCGAATCGCCCTCCCAACCCGAGTCGAGCCCAAGGTCTTCTTCGCAAACGAACGGACCTTCCTATCATGGCTGAGCTTAGGCGTAGTCATCGCAGCTCTTGCCATTGGCATGTTGAACTTCGGTGACAAGCCAGCCTTCATCTCGGCTTTTCTCTTCACGCTCGCAGCGGTACTCACAATGATATATGCGCTGGTGACATTCCACTGGAGGGCGAGGTCGATTAGACAGAGGGGTCAGGCTGGATTCGATGATAAACTTGGTCCTACGCTCTTGACTCTTGTTATTCTGATTGCTATGATTGTCAATTTTGTCCTGAGGTTTTCATATGATCACAAGGATGATGTGAAGCATTGACAGGAGCTCGGGATGCCCGGGCTGGAGGTGTACTATATATGTGGCAAGGAATATAGCTGCATAGCTGGAGTAGGGACATTGAGCCCGTACGGTGCACAGTCAATTGCCGGCTCGGTTGTTTATTGCATAGCAGATGGCGGAGGGTTGAGAAGCAACCCGCGGCGTTTTGGGGCATTTTCTGTAATCTTGGCGTTTATCACATCTATGAATCTGTGAGGTTTAAAACAACTGTAGCTTACAGTGTGCAGACTCGACGGTTGGTGTGGTGTGATATACTTTTATTTTCTTCACAGATCTGATTTATAAACCCTCCAGCTCCTGACGCTGCCATTCAGACGTATTTTGGTCATGAGAGTATCCCTACCTCTTGGTCCTCTGCAGACCAGATGATACTCAGCTTTTCCATCCCTTGAAACATGATAGTTGAAAGCCACTCCATCACTTCTTCGACCGATCCGCCAGATCAGTCTCTAATCCATTCGTTTGCTCTCTATAAACCCATTAGTCCTCATGCAAAACAGTAGTCTAGTCGCAGGGCAAACTCACCCATACTTCTTCCCAAGCCTGTCAATTCTAACCCTCGAAAGATACGTAGTCATGCCCGGCACAGCTCTAACCTTAGGCTTCCCCTCAATAGCCCTCTCAAAGGGTGTTTTCATAGTCTCAAAACTCTCCTCCTCTTCTTCCTCATCTTCAACATCTATATTATCTACTTCTCCAATCTTCACACCACCTTCATCTTCCCCATGCTCCCCCTCTGACTTTTCCTCCAAAACCCCCTCAACAACATTATACTGAAACCACTTCCCGCCCCCCGCCGCAATCTCCCTCTTAGCAATCTCTACGATGCTAATAAGCTTCGACGCAACTTTCGCCTTGGAGTGCAGCATCACTACGGCTGCTTTCTCCGGGGTATCCAGGTACTTGAGAATCGCCGTGACTTTTTTCTCCATCTGAGTCGAGGAAATAATAGACATGCGCAAGACGTCATGAGTACTTGCTAGATCGCCTAATGATTCTGTGTCTGCTGAAGAAGTTGCTGGAGTGGAAGTCGATGCCGGTGGATCGATGGACATCTCTGTGGGCTCTGATCCCGTGATTGGGGGGTCGCTTGGTCCGGCTTGAGCAGAGGTGTCTTGCTTCTTGTTGTTCTTCTTGTTGTGTTTGGATTTCTTGACTTCTTGCTTCTCCTTGCTATGCTCTTTGATCGTCTCGCGGGAATAATTGGAGGCTTGTTTTCTGGCTGCTTTTTTGGTTCGTGCCATGGTTGTGGATGGGAGCTAGAAGCTGTTGTAAAGGGACCGGGGTGGGGTGGAAGTATATCTGGAGCAGAGGTGCTTGATTGAAGGTTAATCTACCATTGTGGATGTGTAATGTTAAAGCAAAGTGGTTTGCATCCAGAGGAGGAGGAGAAAGGGAAGGACCCCATTCACATAAGCGAGTTTTCAACGACGATGCTGTACAAGTAGATCATCTCAAAAATCGAAGTGTTGTTTGGGAATTGCGAGCACGCCTAATTATCTGCATTCAATACCACTTGAATGCTTTTTGTTTTGTGAGAGATACATATCAAGACGTAACTTACAGTACTGTACCATTGCTTAGGCAACTTCGCCTTTATATCCCAATTGGGTGGGAGGAGAGCCGTGTCTCACAACACAATGCGATAACTCACTGTCTTCGCACCGTTTTTTCTTTGTTCTGGTTTCTGTGGGCTTCCTCGTATTTATGGTATTTCAAGCATTTATTCCTTAGCAGCCATTCCATTCCATTCTGCTTCAGCTCAGACGAGGCTGCAACGTAGAGTAAGGTTCTATATCCCATTGGACACAACTCTCAGATCATTATTTTCCCTGTCAACACAAGCGGTATGATAGGCAGAGGTTTCAGAGGTTGCCCGGGGTGTTCCCGTCACACATTCCCCTCATTTTTCATGCGCGTGGGGTATCTGTGGCGTGGCAGCGTCTCGTCTGGTGTTTTGGTTTCAAGTCTTGGCCTGAGAAACAGACATTTACTCTTCTAACATGACCACTCAGAGCCCTTTCGGCAATATGCACAAATGCAAGTACTTCGTAAGTGCATGTATACGGGAATAATGCCTCACGCTTCTCGCTCCAAGCCAGCCTTCTTAGTGCTCACTGCTCACACGTCAAGCCCGAGCCAAGATGGGGCCGGGGATAGTCTTAGATGGCAGCCAGGACGGGAGGCTCTTCTTTTGCACAGCACATGCGGAAAGTGAAGTGATTGAAAGGTTTTATAAGTTATTTTAGTCTGCATGGCTTTGTGTAAAGTTTATTGGCGAGTAGTTCTCCGTATTTGCTTTGATAGTACTGAAGCCTAAGCAAGGCAAGTTGTTCGTGATAAGCCGACTATCTGATGATATCCAGCCGTCCAACCTATTGGAGGCCTTCCCGAGAACTTCCTCTGCAGAAGGGAAGGTTTATGCGTCAGTCAGTCAGCACTTTAAAGCACGATGCGAGTCAAGCCGTTTTTGAGAGGAGGGATCAGAGGAACGACCTGAGAAAGAGGTCCAGGTTGTGTCAATAGTCGGACTATACTGGAGGTCTATGTACTACTGTACTGTAGCATTACATTATATCACACCTTGAAAAAGTGTCACTCTCGTGTGAGAGAGCAAAAGCAAATCAACGGTGGTGGAGTATGCATACAGTAGGTATGCACCGCAGGACAAGGAACAGGCAGCGACTGGACGCCAAGTAATACAAAGGCCAGGCCTGGTACCCATGTTTTTTCTCCGTGCCTCCAATCATATGCGGCCAACAGCATGTCGCCCTGTACTGTACGGCTCCATAATCCATTCCTCTAAATTTATAATCCTAGTCGGTCCGCCAACCCACGCACCCACCCACACGGCCCTTACGTAGCGGAGCTAGACGCGCGAGCCTTTCCCAGCTTCCGTTTCCATTTGGGGGGCGATCGCATCGCATCTTCTTGCGCTCGCTCTCTCTCTCGCTCGCTCTCCTGCTTCTTTATTATTTCACGACTTCAAACTGCACCAACTCTGTATCAACGACTATTTCTCCCTTTTAATAACCTCTTACTTCGTCCCACGACCTTTCTTCTCTTGTAATACCGCACCCCTTTCACGTATTTCTTGTTCCTTCTTTCCTGCCTTGTCATCCCGATATTTCGCGACTCGCGCTATTTCAACCGCTTTCTTCGTTTACCCGGCCTTGACCTCTCCTCATCAGCCCATCAACAAACATTCTTACATCTTCGCCGCGACGGCAACGTTCGATTCGATTCTTCCCCACTCCCTTCGACGGTCGCATTTTTCGCGATTCCGCCCTGTTCTCGATACGACTTTTAATTAACACTCTTTCTGTATAAATTTTGGGTTGCGCAATCTGATTGTTTTGCGACGGGGTTAAAAAAGGGGACCCATTATTTCGTCATCACAGTGAATTCCGCAACGAACAACAACACCTTCACTCCTTAAGACATATAACAGCCTTCCCGATCTAAGGCTTAGAATTTCCGCGCATATTCGTCAACGGCACGCGAAACCGCCAGGCCGCAACTACTTCGTATAGGCTTCGACAATACTGTATGCGAATGTTCCGACTTCCTTCTTGGATCTCCGAATCCAGGGGTGACAAAGTGGTAAATGGAGTAACAGATTTCAATATGGCGCCTGCCACTGGACCTGTGGGGGATGGATTCACTGGAGGAGGGCTATTGAAAAGGAAAAGAGGCAGTAGTGAGGATGCGCCGGAAGCGATAGGCGCTTTAATACACGATGCGAAGCGGAGAAAACCAGATGCACTGGAATCACTTCAGCTTCAAAATTCTGGAGAAAGGCATGTCACAGAAGAGCAAGCGCACGCTGTTGTTCAAGGCCGGGTTAGGGATATTATCGAATCCCAGTTTGGCCTCGAGATCATGCTGAAGCATGAAGAACTTCGTTTGATCAACCAAGAACTTGCCAAGTGTCAGGTCGCATTAGAACAGCTTCGTCGCTGTCACCTAATTCCTTATCCAACATCTCAAGGAACAGCAGAATCAGTATTGAATGTTGCGAATGGAACAGGGGCTACTCTCAAGAAAAGTGGCAATGTGCCCCAATGGGCGCCTGCTTATGGAGTCACCGATGGCCCATACACGAGACATTACTCCAAGTGGTTGATTCCAGATCCCAGTTTCGACGGAATACCAGTTGAGACGAACAGGGGATTTGAAGGATCACGTGCAAGCAGACCTCTTCTAGAAGGGCGTGCCACCAGGCATTCTTATGCCGTGGAAAATAGCACACCTGTAGGCAAATCTAGGGCTCAAAGGGGCTCCATAGGTGGAAGTCAAAAGCTTCAAGCTTTGTCGAGTGGCTATCCTATACAGAAGGGAAAGGCAGGCCCTTCTATCCTCAAACGGCAATCAGATGGCCAAATGATCAAGCTTGTTTGCATCGACTGTAAGCGGGAGGATTTCTCTAGCACTCAAGGATTTATCAACCACTGCCGCATTGCTCATCATCGAGAGTTCAAGAGCCATGAGGAAGCAGCCGTTGCAAGTGGCCAGCCTATTGAGGTTGACGAATCAGGTGGTATTGTTGGCGAGGAAAAGACACCGACCTCTACCAGTATTGGCTTGGTGCATCCTCTTATCAGGAGTGCCCCATCGAACAACAGTGCCTACGTTGACCTCTTATCTCGTATCGAGTCATCTATGGCATTGTTCAAACAAGGCAAACTTCCTGGTGTCACTGCAATACCAACCAGCGCCAATGCGACACCGTCGAAAAAGACAAGTGTGAAACCCATTCCACCTCAAAACAAGTCATTTGTCCCGTCAACGGAGACACCGCATCTCTCTGATCTACTAAGCAAACATGCATTCCGTGGAAACCTTCCTGAGATGGTTGCCGATGCAAAGAAGATTGTGGACTTTGAAGAGTTCTCTCCACTTGGTGACGAGTCTGATGGTGGAGACATCCCCGTTAAGAGCAACGTTCTTCATCCTGCTCCTGGTATGCGCATGCCTGCCCGAGCTGGAATGTCACCTGCCCCAACTGGTCGTCCAGAGAGCAGCAAAGGTATCGACAGTAGATTCAACGGGATACCACCTTTATTATCCCATGCTACCCCAGTCATGAATACATCTACTATCAATACGCCATCTTCCGAAGATCATCATCACCATGACAGCGAATTTGATGTGGAAATGACAAGTCCTTCTATCAGTGACCTTAGTCCCAACACTATAGCCAGCAACAACGCACCACCACCCAGTCTCGTTAGTGACGATGAAGACGATGTCGATGCTGAAAGTGTGATCTCGGTGGACGAGCATCAAGGCGACGATAGTGACGTTGCTGAGATCGACATCGAAGACGATGGATTAGAGAAGGTTCCAAGGATAAAAAACGGTGGTGGCCTGAGGAAAGAGGGAAAGCATGTTACATTTGTTGGCCCCGTGAAGGAGACTGGGAAGGAGAGGCGCAATAAGTGATTTTTTATACAGGTGGAAGCATTTCCCATCCGAACACCAGCGAAGCATACTTATGATTTATCCTGCCTTGCGCTGATTTAACTTACGACAAAGACTTTATTCTTGGCCTAGAATTACATTGGCAGCATTCTGTGTCATAGAAGCAGAATTACACATTCAAACTGTACTCCATTTCCCTCATCAACTTGAATAAAGTCATCGTGAACTCTTAACGATAGCGCTAACCCAGCCTTTATACTTGATTATTTCACTTAGCACTCTCACCCCTAAACCCAGCATCTTCTTCCTCATCAAGCATACCCTTTTGCCTCTTTAATTCCCGCTTAAGATCCAAATTCTCAGACTCCAGCTGCTCAATCCTCAGCTCCAACCCGTCCATCTGCTCCTCAGCACCAACGCTAAACTCCTCGATAATCTTGAAGAAACGCCAAAGACGCAACACCACAACCAGGGAAGCCACTTCCTCTAAAACTCCGTGGAGTAGCACATCAACAATAAAACCGGCTATAATAACCGTTGCGTCGAAGCAGTGGAACCTTGAGTTAAAATACCTAACCGTTTCACTATTAGCCCAATTCCATTCCTCTCACTATTTCAACACACCCCAAACCCAAGTCCAATACCATACATAAACCCGGACAGAAATCAAATGCAAAAGCAGACGCAAGGAAAGAGAGAGAGATAGCAAAGAAAAGTAAAAACAAACCTCAACCCAAAAGCCCAAATACTCGCCCCCAATTCCGCCAAAAACAAGCAACTAAACACCAACCCCGCAATCCCCAATCCCTCCCTCACCTCGTCCCACACCGCGTTCGTGGCCCCCTCGTCGCACTGATACAGGTTTATGATTATGTCAGCGAAGATGCCCAGGAGGTCACAGGTGACAAGCGCGAGTACGGTGTAGTGCTGGGCGCGGGAGGCGAGGAAGGTTTTTAGGGTGTTGCGGGAGGTTGTGTAGACGGTTTTGAAACGGCTTAGGCGCGAATGGGGTTGTGAAGTGCAGGTGGTGGAGCTGGAGGTGTTTGTGGGAGAGGGAAGGAAGTCATGGGTTTGGTCTTGATCTTGGTCTTGGTCTTGGGCATGGTTAGAGAGGAGGGGTTGGGTGGAGGAGGAGCTGGCTTCGTAGGGGACCGGGCATTGCGGATTTGTTAGGGGGATAGGATGGGGAATGGGGATAGTCAAAAAGCTGGGA